GAAGGCTACCTCCAGAAAAGAACAGCGGCACTGATAATTGACTAGTTTGCCTTCAGAGTTCTCTTGCTCCTGTATGAAGTCATGAAATCCTTTAGACAGGATCCATCAATTACTTTTAGTATAAAACATTATGGAAACGGAAGCTTGACATACCCTCTCAATCTCAGAAAATAACATCTGAAAAATGCGTGGAACAAGACCTTGGGGGCTTCTGGATGAGGGTTCTTCAACAATTGAACTGGGTGGTCCCCACATTGTGTATGTCTTTCCACTTCCACTCTAGTAATAACTCATTAGAGTTACACACTTCACAGGACAAAAAATGGGATGTAATTTAAGAGAAGTAATAGCTACAGAGAGTTATACTATACAAATACCTGTCCATATGTTAACACAGAAGTATTGTATCCCGTAAGCGTGCTTTGTACTAAAGGAACACCAACTGTCTGAAAGATATCCTCCTGTTTGAAACGAAAAACAGTTTAGTATGGAAAATAGTTGTTGGGAATTTAATTTCCAATCGGCAGAGTGGTAAAAACTTTTCTCAGCCAATCTCGATCTCTCTTGATACTGGACAGGAACTACAAGCAGGGATATCTTCTTAGTTGCCTATCTTACCTATTTCTTTATCTCCCAATTAGAGAGATGCCCAGATAATTGGAGGTGAAAATGTAACGGTACAAGCGTATTCGTAGAGAAAAATGTGGAATCAGCAGCTAACCTGGCTTGACCTTGCATCAAAGACTGAATCGAAAGTAAATTCGCGATCTCCAACTGACAGTGAATCGGACGAAACTTTCTTGACAATCCGATCTCCTACTCTTTCGAATTCGTTGGCAGGCCTAATTCTCACCGCGACCTAGCGAAATTAAGAATTTGTAAGTAACAATCAGATATTAAGCACTCCATCGAGCTCAAAGACCTGATTAATTTCACTTGAAGAACCTTCACTGGTGTGTCTGGATGTGCCAATGCCCCAGATTTGTCTCCTGATGTTGCTATCTCTTTCTGCAAGCGTACCATTTCAGTTGAAAAAGTTCAGCTCCAAGCGATAGCAGAATTTAAACCGATCTAACACTACACGGCAAAACAAACCTAGAACAAAAGTTGAGCCGAAAAAATCATTTGAAAGTGATGAACAATTGAAATATTTAACTCCAAAACACTAACAACATAGACAGTTAAGCTCTACTGTTCGGACATAGCCAACAGTAGCTACAGCAAAGCAAACCTTCATGGACAAAATTGAGCATAAAGCACTTAAAACTGCTCGAAAGTTGAGAGCAAAACTGCAAAAATCACAGACGCTGCTAGAATCTGGACTCCGGTACCTTAGTCGACGGCTGGTGTTCGGACGGCGCTTCTCGACCGTCAGATCGGGCGATTTCACTCGACTTTCCGAGCTTCGGTGAAGGTACGACGGCATCGGAGCCCGCGACGTTGGGATCGAGCGGGGGCGAGTTCTCCGCGTCGGGTTTGGGGATCCTGGAGCTCTTGAGAGCTGTTCTGTGCCTGGTGGAAATGGATCGGGAGAGGAGGCTCCGTATGGAAGAGGTCGAGAGGCTTCCTCCCTTGGATCCGTTCTCGGAGATCGCTGTGCTGCTGCCGGACTTCATCGCTGGAGGAGCAGAATGCGTCCGCTTGCTTGAGAGAGAGAGAGAAGAGAGAGAGAGAGAGACTGCAATTCAAAATGTTAGAAGAGAGAGGAGGATGCGGAGCGGACACAGAGAGAGAGGGTCTTTGTTGTAGGCTGCTAGGATTAGAAATGATGACCGTTGGAGATTTTGATTTCACTTCCGCGGAAGTTACATCAATGCCCATGACTTCTGCCGAGAATTACGATTTGGTCCGAACTTTGGAACGTTGCTGTGTTTAGAAAATGGTGGAAAATTGTAGGAATCAAAATTTGGAAAAAAAAAAAACCAATGAATTTTTTTAATAAATCTCTATGAGGAAAAAATGAGGGAAATAACTGGTATGGGTATTTTTCCTACGCATCTTCCTCCTCTGGCGCCATTCAGGCATAGCATCCCAAAGTGTCCCTCGAACTTGAATTCGAGCGGATGAAAAATTTTAAAAACGCCCTTCTAAGATGTCCCTCCCAAGTATTTTTTCAAGAACTTGCTAATTAAAATTCGAGAGAATAATTTTTGCCAATTGAGTTTTATGAGAAAGGTATAGTTTTTGCCGATCGAGTTTTACGATGAAAGGTTTAATTTTTAACGTCAATCGCCTTGGGGATCTGCTTAGAGAAGTCCATAACCTAAATTCGTTTTCTCTAGCAGTGTTGCATTGTAAATAGTCTAAAAAAATGATTTTACACATGGCATGCCAAATCTCAATTGCTAAGATTTGGCTAAACTGATTGCAACATGTAAATATTATTGAGGCCTTTTTTTTTCCTCAAGTAAGCTTACTGAAATTCGTACACAACTTGTTGATTCTTCATCCGACAAAAGAAAAAGAAAATCTTCTCTAAAAGGAACTTAATGTTTATAAAAATGTATTTTTTTTTTCGAAATTATCTTAAATGTGGAGTTTGTAATCGACGGATGGTGGCCTAGCATTATGAGATAGGATATCCCCACTAATTTAAGTCCCTAAAGTTGAAAATCGCTTGCGAGAGTTACGAATGCATCTAACTTCGTGCGGATGGATCCTAGATCTCTAACATTTTGATGCAAAGCAAGGTATATTTGGAACATGACGCGTTTTTCCAATTGTGATGCATTCTAGATCTCCAACATTTCAATGCAAACTTCATGCGGATGGACTCTAGATCTCTAACTTCGTGCGATGTATTGTTAAATCACTTCAATTGTGACTCGTTCTTCCGATCCACTTGTCAGATTAGAGGAGCAAAGGCGGAAAAAACCCTTTCCCCTCTCGCTTATTTATTAGGGTGGATCGGGGGGACATTGCTCAGGGGAGGCAAAGGACCGTTTTGTCCATTCGAAAAGTTCAAAATCGTGACCGTTGGGTGGAGCTAGGCATTGTCCAAAGGGAGCGGAGATGATTCATCATGGGGATTTTAGTTAAGTGAGGCTTCCAATTTGGTCCGAACGAGGAAGGCCCACGGGAAAAAGGCTGAAGTCGGCCCGGTTCAAACCGGGAAACGTGTAACCCGATTATGTGATTTGCAATTATTTCGGTAATATTTCATTTTGATAATTTAGAGGCACAAACACAGAGTAGTTTGCACGAATTTGATGCGATTTGTAAAGGTGACCTTCAGATTATCAAATCTTGCACAGAGAGTGAGAATAGTCATAAAACCGTACGTAAGTAAAAGGCAACTCTCAAATGCCATTACTTTACTTGACCCCCAAAAAAATAAATGCCGCTACCTTAAAAAGAAATTAACTCATAACGTTCTCAACGCAATACTCCATATTATTGGAATCCCATATGTAATTTTGGGACTTCGAGTACATTTAAGTTGTGCAACGCTTGAAACTAGACCTAACCGATCTAGAATCAATAGTTTTTATGGGAACGGATCCGATTCCTAATTTCAATTTATTGGAACCGGTGAGTACTGGTCCAGTTCCCGGTTTCAGATGTGAAACTGCTCACTCGAACGGAATCGGTATATATATTTATATATATAATTTGTGTTAAAAATTTCAAAAACACTAAACTCTCTCTCATCCTCTCCACGTCACGTTTTTTCATGTCACTTATTTCCACGTCCCCTACAAAAAACTCTCACGCTCCTCAAGGTGTGCTCTCTCTCTTTCTCTAGAGAGATGCATATCTTCTCCCCACCTCTTGCTCTCCCACTCTCCCCTTACCCTCCGCTCCTGCTTCACCACGTTATCGCCGTACTCATCCTTGCCCCTCATCTCACCCTTTTCCATCTTTGCTCCTCGCCACTCGACGACCCGCCCACCCTTCCCCACCTCCCTCTCTCCCCTCAACCTCCGCCACCATGCCTCCACTCCCGTTCCACCTTGTCGCCGTCGTACTCATCCTCGCCCCTCATGTTGCCCTCTCCCACCTCTGCTCCACTCCATCCGATGACCTGTACCTGCCCTTCCCCTCCTCCTCTACCCCTTTCTCCGCTTCCCCTAGCCAATTTCATGTCGGTGTCCGGTTTCCGGGTTGGTCCAAAAACTAGTGAACGATTTTAGGATCCCAGTTCCAGGTGGGAACCGCCCATCCTGAAAGCGATCACCCTTAAATATACTTATCCCTATATTTAACAAGTCTCTTAATTTTTTTAAATGGGAGGGAACCGTATTAGGCGGGCAACTATTTCCGAACAGAAACGTGCGTCTCCCACCTTCATCGACTTCTGTCTTTTCTCCACCGACCTCCCCCAACACGCTATATAGTTTGCCTCTATCAATCCAAGAAAAAATAAAGTTAAATATATAGTTTGCATCTTTCCTAATTCTCTCCTTTTCTTTTTTCTATTTTCAAACTGGGGCCTCTTGCGCAATTCTTAATAATTCCAACGGCCGTTTTGTCGGAGCCCCGGACTTTCTCTATGTCTCTTCGAGCAGACACATCTGAATCTAAAACAATCGATATTTGTTATAAAAAAAGAAAAAGAAAAAGATAATCGACCCGCCCCATGCTTTGACAATACCCCCCAATTCATCCCTTGATTCCTTCAACTTTACGTTGACTTGACACTTCTCATGATGCAACCCTCAAAGCACGTCCACAGGCAGCTGTATCCACCAAGAAGCGACCAAGAGATTTGAACAAGTCTCGATTGAATAGCATGCTCGGGCCATTGGGTTCTTAAAATAGCAAGAAAACAGTGAACAAATTGAATAACGACTACACAAGTTGCACCGTTGAGAAGCGACTCGAGCAATATGAAAAGCACTCGTTGACTTTTTTTTTGGTTTCTTTACTCCCTCAATTCCACACTCACTCGATTCTCCCCCGAGTTTCTTCTTTTTGAAATGAAAAAGAAAAGGGCCAGACAGACGACCTCATCCTCCTCCCCCAAGTCCCTCCAACAAATCACAACCAAACCCGAAAGCTATAGACAAAACAAACATTAGAATAACAAATCCGAAAACGAGCTGCTAAACAAGCCCCCGAAAAGGAAATTGAAGCACTGGATCTACGTTCTTGATTAAATGGTTATGTACAATTTACATTCAAGAATTAGTTCTCGTCGTCGTCGTCGCAGTCGATCCCGTCAAAGAAAGGATCACTGAGTAGCTCGGAAGCCGAAGGCCTGACCCTAGGTTTGCCCAGACACTTCTCGATGAAAGCCCTCACTTCAGGGTCTCTCACTTTGCTCAGAGCTTGTGGCCTCACCCCAGACATCACCTTCTTGTATATCTTGGGCACGCTGTCGCACTCACTGTATGGGATCTCCACGGTCACCATCTCGAGCAGGCACATCCCAAACGAGTACACGTCGACCAGCTCCGTGTAGTCTTCCTCGAAGAGCTCCGGCGCCATGAACTCTGGCGTCCCGATGACCGAATGTGCCGCGTGGTTCTCGCCCACGATCGCCGCCAATCCCAAATCGCCGATCTTGACCTGAATTCAAACGAGGCACGCAGCCGCAAGTTAAGGAAAAGTTAGGGTTTCCATTGGTTGGTGGATGGGAAAAGGGCAGATTGAACGAACATCGTGATTGGTTATGAATAGGATCCTCCAATATTTTGGGTGGCATGCGCGAAAAGAAAGCATATACTATTGACAACGAACCAGGCTCCAGCTAAGATTTTCATTACTTTCTTAGGAAGCATAGGATGTAAAATGTCTTCATTGACGATTATTCTCTATTGCTTTATTTGCTTAGACTTTTCTGTTTTCCATCTGACCCACCAAACAAATAAGAATTCGAATTCGAGGTAAATTTTAGTGCCGTACCTGACCGACGTTCCCATTGACGAAGACATTGCTGCAATTCAGATCTCTGTGGATGATGCAAGGATCATGAGTGTGCAAATACTCCAAACCCTTCAATATCTGCTTGGACCACTTCTTCAGCGCCTTAACAGAGACGTGCCGGTGCTTCTTCCGGTACTCCCTCAGGTTCCCCGACGTGCACACCTCGGTGATGAAGTTAAGCTTTCCTTGCTCGTCGTCGCGCCACACGTTGTGGAGGGATATGATGTTCCTGTTCTTGAGGGTCCGCAGGAGCCGGACCTCCGAGTAGAGCCGGTCGATCATCCCCGGATAATCGTCGAAGTTCCTCAGCTTGACCTGGTTCCACGCCACTTCGATGCCTTCCTCTTGGTCGAAGGCACGGTACACCTTCTTCACCGCGCCGGACCCGAGGAGCTCCGGGTACCGGCCGTAGCGCCCGGTGGGGTCCACCTCCGCGAACGGCTCGGAGTCCTTGTCGGACTCGGACTGGTCGAGTGTCACGCTCGGCATCTTCAATCGAATCAAGAGCGCATGCAATTAGCATCGCTCGAAATACACACTCCATGATTTTTTGATGAAAAAATCAGATGACATGAACTTCCACTCATAATTCTGGAGACACCACACAATTCAAACACAAGTCATACTCAAATCGCTATTTTCATCGAGATCATTGAAACCCAAAGAATTTCAGCAAGAGGGTGTGATCACAGAGATCAACATTCATGACGATAGTTTCAACGGAAGTCGCAGCGATCACTGCACATCCCAAGCTTGAACTGTATCCTCTTTACACAACAATTGAGCGAGGACAACCCCTCCATGCAAAAAGGTGAAACAGAAAAAAACTTCAACTCCATCGAACCAGAACGTTAAAAGAAAACGTCGCGAGAACATCTCATATCAAATCTCGATTTTTTCTCGCCTTTCTAGACGAATCCCAGCGACAGGAGACAAGAAAAACACGAGGCAACAAACCGCTGCGCTTTTAGACTCCCATCTCGCACAAGTCTATCAACCGGGGGTACAGGTCTGCCAGTAGGTAACTATCGAAATCGACGAACAGAAAGAGACAAGAATTACTCACGTGGCGACACTCCTGCGCAGAACGAAAGCTGGTCTCCCCGAAGCTCGAGCCCTCCTTCGATCTCCGAACTGAAGGAGGAGGAGGAGAAGGAGAAGGAGCCTTCGAAGCAGCGCCAAAACGAGAGCTGCTTGCATGCACTCGAAATCTTGGTCAAAAGGGGCCTGTGGCATGCGCGTTGGGGGCGTATATATATACACGGAGGAGGGGAATCCGAGCTAGGGTTGGATTTTATTTATCTACTTCCTCCTTTTTTTCGATTTCTATACTTGGTTGATTTTGGGCGAAAACAAGCCCGGAAAAGATCACGATCAGCCGCGGGATCTAAGGTGATAATTTTCGACATTTATCGCGTTCCCGAAACAAGACCGGCCGCGCAGATCTTTAGTTAATACCTTTCGTAGCGGAAATCTTTTAAATGAGGGAGGGAATTGATTGCGTCGCGACGACGAGTGTTGGGTCGATTTCCTCGTGTGTTTCCACGTCTTGCGACGAGATTTCGGGGGGATCCTTCCTGCCCTTGGGAACCTTCAAAATGTCAACCGCTGCGCGGGACGTGCCCGATGCGATCTTGGCCGTCCACGCTGGAGCTGGAGCCGCTCCGACGGAGATGGACGGCGGCGATGCGCGCGGAACATCGTGTTGCCGATTTCTGTCGGGTAGCGCCCTAGTGCAAAGGAGTTACGTAAGTTAAAACGCAAGTCAAATTAGTTTACTCTGCGTAACCTAAGTCAAATTTATTTGAATTGTTCGTTATTATGCGAAAACTTATCCTTACGTTCGCGTGGATAGAATGTTCTTTGTTTTTTTTTTTTAAAAATCGCTTTTGATTGCTAGCTATTAGAAAAACCCATTCCTTCCCTCTGTCGACTAGTATTATCGGAGATGACTCGTTTTTGGGGTTGAAAAGCTCAACCAGTTGATGACCGCGCCAAGCTCAACTGTATTGACCATGTTGATCAAGTTTCGGTCAACCTTTGAGTCCCAATGCCCTGAAATTTAATTGATGTTAGTTTAACTTTTTGAGACGACCCCTTCCGATCTATATGTTTGGCGTACCCGTTTTAACTAACTTGCTCGAGGGATTTGAGTTTGGCTCGGATCGGATATTCTCTAATCTTAGATTTGAAGGTGGAGGAGTAATACTTAAGTCTGATTAGTGATTAATCCACGTATTTTGGGAATTGTAATCTTTTTTTTCTTCTTTCGTGGGCCAGTACGTTATAATCTAAATTAACAGCCTAATCTTTTTGGAGATCTTCATGTTAACTATTCGAATTTATCTATTAAAGTTTCAAATCATTCTAGTATTTTGCTTCATCTCTATCGGGATGATTCCAATCTTCTATAAAAGAAAAAAAACATGACTCTTCCGTCTTGGTAGATTCCTAGTAAGTGTTAAAAAAATCTGATAAAATAGAATTACCGGTCACCCAACCAATACCTTGTTGATAATTTATCGGTTTTTTCTTTTATTTACATTTTTTACACTTACAAACGGTTATTAACATTTACCGGCACGGGCAAAAGTCTGTATTCTTTTGCACGGAACAATAGAATTCTGGTCTCTGTCAGATATGCTTTTCAAATTGAAATCGCTGACATGGCGGTCGAGTATCATTGGTCGTTCGCGGCACACCGCCGACTTGATGATTTTATGAAATGGCATCCGTACAATAGGTTTAGGATTGATTGGACAATTTCACCAAGAAAATGATTAATTACTTTCCCACTTTTGACTTCTTGTGGAAATTTTATTCCAAGCAAGAAAAATCATAGAGACGTTGCTCAACTACTTGGCAGGTTAATTTCCAACTACTCGTTTGGATGACTTGCATGATGCGATCGTTCCACCTTTGTTTTTACCTGCAATGGAGTAAAATCCTTCATCGCACCATGGTCAATTGGGTGACATACGGGCATACTCGAATTTTGAAAAGTATGTTATGACATCTGTAATTATATTTTGACCCGTTTTACGTTAATAAATAACAAGTGGACTGTACCTCCCCCTTTCATCAATAATTATATTCCAAAATTTTTATCAAAATAGAAACGGAACCCCTGCAAAGTTCAACGAAGGGTGAATTTCATACCCTTTTTTCTTATGATGTAGCCCTTCACTCCATCGACAAGGCAAAAGGCCAAGCACAAGCCATAGCCAAGAGCCATTGGAAACGACCACTACGTAAGTGAACGAGGGCCAAAAGAACACCAGCAGCACTAGAGAACAATGAGCAAGCTAACTCAGCACTACGAAAATGCTAGAGATGGATGCGCCGATCAGCGCGGAGCTGCATAGTTGCAGGGGACTCGACGGCCCTCGATGCAATGCTTAACGGCAAACATAACCCGTTTTGGCGCTTGATCAGCAGGAGGAAGCGATTGACCATGAACCATAGCATTCCTAGCCTTCCATAGAAAATAGGTACATTGCATTCCAAGATAGCCTCAGCAATAGGATCCAATGAAGCTCTAGAGTCCAATCTCCAGGAGTTATATCAACAGAGCACGAGCGCAAAATCCTTCTCCACAGCTGAGATGAGAAACTACATCCCCAAAGAAAGTGGGATCTCGACTCATTGGCTTGTTTACATAAAGGAAAATGTTTATCAAATTATTTATCTTCCGCAAAACAGACGAAGCCTAAATTGAATCTAGACCATTGAAAATGGTGGATTCCAAATGATCTCACGATCTATAATTAATAGTTAATAAATATACTAGATTCAGGGAATACTCGATCAAGTTAGAGAGATTAACACAGCTTGCAAAACGTATTTCATTTCCGCCAATTGTGGGAACCATGATCCACTAAATCACGTTAAAGGTGGGAAAATAACAGTTTAGATTTTATTTTTATTTTTGTTAGGTTTAGTGTCGCCGACGAATTGTCGGTATACGAAATAACATACACTTTTAATCGAATCATTGACACGTGGGAAGAACCGGTTATAAAACTAATTCCAAACACACATATCGCTCATCTAACAATGAATGTGTCGGTTTTTTGTTACACAGATGATAGACATTCTAAAATTTTCTTTTTTTCCCACTTTTGGCTTTTTTCGGTCCTCTTAATTAAATGACCCGTCAATATGAGAACTTGCCCACTTGCCTCTCAATCTCATGAAGCAAAGCTCAGTTTCATTGAGTAAAATAAATTTTAAAAACTAAATCATGAATTTCTCAAAAGATGAAGCCCAACATCACCTTCGGACAGTGGCCTCTGCTATTCTTAAAAAAATGGTCGTCGTCATCGTCGCCGGTCATTTTTACTCGGTTCGAATTTTTATTTTAACTTCTCCCGGTGTCATCATCACGTGCTCGTCCCAGATTTTGTTTAATCTTATCTTTGGGTTTATTGTAGTTTTACGCGGACAACAAATGCTTTGATTAGACCAAGTTGGGCAAGTCTTATCCGACCCCAACGTTGATGTTCTCGACTTCAAAAAGGACAGCGCAGAGCGCACGCCTTTCCCTTGTGCTCGTTGGTGGTGTTGGGAAGACGGAGAAACAACCACCCGCAATTAGGAATGAGCACAACAGGGTAAAATCAGGAATCGGACAACCAGAGACCCAGTTCGGTTTTCGATTTTAGGAAAAGAGATTTCGGTTCTCGATGCCACTTTTTAGGAACCACTAGTTCCCGGTTCGATTCTCAGTTCTTATAGAAATCGAATTGGGAACCCTAAATTTAAAATCACTAATTTTCTTATTATTTCTCACTTCTCACTCTCCTACAATTCAAGCATATATTGGACATTAATATTTCCATCCCTTGCAGTAATTTCCAGCTTCATCTTTACTGTTTCCTTTCAGCATTGCATGTGTGCTAGTTTGTTGACATTTCTATAGATATTTCTTCTCATCTTCTATTAATGCCTCATGTCTTAATGCGTGCTTTCATTGTTGAAAAGTTTATAGGTTCTATGTTCCTGAGTTGCATCATGTCTTCTTGCCAAAGAAATCTTGGCATGAAAATGTTCTTGCGTACATGTAGTTCATTCCTGTGATTTGACATAATCACGCAACACAGTGGGAAAATCTTAAAATAAATTCTTCCTTTTATCAAGAATATCACAAGCGCCCAATTCCAAGGGGTGATTATAAAATCAGTCAAGAGCAACTTGCTTTGATGACCAGAAACAACAAACTTTTCTACTCCAAAGGAGCTTGGAGGGGTAATTTTACCAAAAGAGCATGCTTCATGCTTTTTATCGAGAAAAATGTGGCATCTTGCCTTGGAATTTAAAGTCATATGTGTTGCATCCCAATAATTACTATTTGTCGTTCTATCCCATTTCTATTAAGAAAAATGGGCAAAAGTACACCAGAGGTCGGCCTCGGGTCTCGCCTCGCCTGGGTCGCGAGGGCGAGGTCTCGCCTCGCCCGGCGAGGCGAGGCCGACCTCGCCATCGCCCGGGTCGCTACGGGAGGTCGGCCTCGCCTTCGCGCGGGTGAGGCGAGACCTCGCCCTCGCGACCCGGGTCGCGACGGCGAGGTCTCGCCTCACCGGAGCGAGGCGGACCTGCCGTCGTCGGTCGCGACGGCGAGGTCTCGCCTCGCCGGATTCGGCCCTTGCCGGGCAAGGCGAGGTCGCCGGCCACCGGGCGTGACCCTCGCCGACCACCGCCGGCCCTTCTCGGTGGTGGTGGGTTGGCGGCGAGCAACGGCGAGGGCTCCCTCGCCGCTGCTGCAACCTTTTTTTTAAAAAAAAAAATTTATTATTATTTTTCTAAAAATTAAAAAATTCGAAAAAAAGCCACATAATTTTCACGTGTACAAGTCAGACCATTTTTTTTTAATATAAATGCCAGGTCAGCTTTTTGGCCGGAGTCACTAAAGTGATCTATTTTCCTCCGACTTGGCACCAAAGTGATCCGAAAAAAAGTTATGACACCAAAGTGATCGCCGTACACAAGTTATGACACTTATAATGTACTTTTGTCAAGAAAAATGTGGCTTTCCAATAACTAGTTTTTTTGTATTCTCTTTGATGAATGACAAGCTTGTTCAGTTTTGTTGCATTCATTTTTATTTTGTTTAACTAAAAATGAAACCAAAAAAACAAAAATAAACAACCTGTTAAACCTTGGAACCCGTAACAAGATAAGTTCCAAGTTCCAAAAAATGAGAAGCCTATACCCGAGGGTGATTTCAAGTTCTAAGCGGAATTGTAAGGAATCCAGAATTGCTCACCCCTAGCTGTAACTCGTGAACGGGTAAAGGCTCACCATGAGTGCAAACTACACAGCGTAATGCTTCTTGTATCACGTTTGTCTATGCTACTAAAAACATTTAAATGTGGCATTGTGGTAAAGGAGGAGGTTTAGCAAAGCCATATGAGAAAAAAATTATAAAAAATTATCTGCGTCAACGCTAGTTGTCTTACGTGGCACTACCGGCGTTTACGTAATGGTTAAAATTGGCTTGATGACTCAATTGGCAAAACGTGAAAATGTTTATGACTAAATTGAGAACAGTGTAATAAGTTTAAAACTTTTTGGACAATTTTCCTCGAAATTCAAGCTTAGATATAACTTGGGTGAAGTTGGTCTCATTGGGCTGCCTCGTACCTGGCCAACTCGGGTTCAATTTGTAAGAGAGATCCAGCTTTAAATTTCTTGGCCCACGAACTACATTCTTAGTAAGCCCGGAAATTCAATGTTATTGCTCTCACGCATTATCCAAAGTTTAAAAGCCTAAAATAAAAAAAGCCGAAATTCAATGGCCAGTTGCCGTTTGGTACAAGGAAATTCTCATTTTCCTTTCCCGTTGAGAATGAAAAATGTCCTGGACAATACGTTTTCTGAGATCGTAGACCGTGGTGCAGATGAGGTCACGGTTTCAATTTTTTTCCCTTCCGGAGTGTCGGGTTCATAGAACAAGGAGAATATGTTCCGTCGAATTTCAGCTCATTTAAAAACATTGTATCGATGGTATTCATTAACATGAACAGAACCTAAAGCAGTCTCCAGTTATCGATATGTACAGGTCCTTGGCTTTGATCGCAGTGGATTTTCGCCGTAAGTTTTTTTAACTTCTTCGTTTTGCTGTTGCTTTTTCTGTACCTCTTTGATTAGACTTCAGAGATTAAAGGTCTCATCGCCACGGTTGCTTCAGATAGTCAAAACTCATGTGGAGCTCTAATCATGGTGGATTCAGCTGAAGTGGCTAAAGTAAAAGCAGAAACCGGGAAGCCTTTGCTTAACCAGGGAGGTGAAAGTTACAAGTCAGCTAATTCGTAAGCACAAGTCGCATCTTCCCCCACACACCCATCGCGGCTTACAACACCTCATTTGATGTTTCCGTTTTTCGGCCATGGTGCATGGATGGAACACCCCTTGATTTTGACTCTTTTACCACTTTTTGCGGCTGTGCCAATGATGGAGCATCGACGACTTGCTGTTTGCTGGCTGTAAGTTCTGAAATCTAAGAGTGATTTTTTTTGTTTCCCGTTTTTCTGTTAAATTTTGATATATTATTTGAATTTTAGAAGATTACGAATATAATACGTGTGAGTCTACCCTATTAATATTGTGACATCTCTGGATTAACTCACTCGAAGTACGAGGGTATTGTCCGCTTTTGGCCCGTCCCAAACCGAGTCTTACGGTTTTGTCCTTTGGCGTACATGCAGATACTTTTCCTAGAAAGTCACCCATCTTGGCCGTGATTTATCCCAGGCTCGCTTAATTTTAGAGTTCAAAAGCAAAACTTGATTTTTCGTGAGTTAATTCCGGTTTTCACACACACACACACACACATATATATATATATATATATATATATATATATATATATATATATATATTTCATGATCGCTCTTTCCATGTTTAGTGTATAATTCGGTTCAATCCTGCCCCCTCTGCCATCCTAGAAACTTGCCAAAAGTTGTTCCTTGTCGAGGCCCTCTAGAACCGGCGACTACTCCCCGCTCTCGTCAAATTGAGTTGTTACAAATATAAGATAATTTCAAAAGATTGATGAGATTTGAAAAATGTTAGAAGCCAAGAGTAAAAGTCTCTCCAAACAAACTTATATACATGCCTATGGCGAACTAGAGAATGCTCTTGGTGCAACTTATGCCTAACAATAGGCGATTCGAGGGAGTACTTCAACTTTTGTTAGGCCTTTGATAGTTATATGATATTCGCACCTTCGAGACTGCCAAAATCTTATAATGCTTCGGTGCAATTTGCCTGACATTATATTATACCTCCCTTTCTCCTAAAAGCCATCGAATATTGCAGCTTTCAAATGCGCATTGCCAAAGCACGCATGTTATCGTACATCATGCTTTGATGTCATCATATAATAAGTTTAGTGGTTGAGAAAGAAGATTATCTACATATATAATCTCATAACAATTCATTATAGAACACAAAAGGAAAATTGAACACAGACGACATGATATGGTCGCTGCATAAAATGGTTTCTCCATTATTCGCCGCATAACTTGAAGCTTACTCATAGAATCAACGAGTTACAGAAAAAAAAAAAAAAGAGAGCTAAGAACATCTCTAACATCAATCAATTGCACCAATAAGATGTTGTCTTAGATTGCAAGGGATTGTGCCCATTTGATTGCGATCTCGAGTTCAAATCTTATTGAGGGCACTCTCAAAAGTAAAATCTTGAATGCACTGAACCGATACGAGGGATTGTGCCCTTATGACTGTTCAAGGAGGTGTAACGGTCGGGTTATGTGAAAGCCGATCCGAACATCACATGACCGCTAAACCTCCTAAAAAGGAAATTGAACAATCCTCCATTGCATGGGATTCTAAAGTTTCCTCGATTAGTTGCCTGATCAGTGTCCTCGACGCAAGTTAACAAGATCCTTTCCAAACAAACGTCCTCTCGAAGATCTTAAATTGATATCGACCGAGTTAAATTCATGTGCGTCCATGGCATGTTGATTTGGTTAGGGGTGTCAATTGACAGCAACGTAGGCATACCGTAGAAATGTTTGACGAGGAAACAAGAAGGGATCTTATCTAAACAAAGGAACAACTTTGTCACGAAACCGAAAAGAGATAACCGGACAAGCGAAAGGTTAAAAAAGAGCCAAAAAAAGTGGAGAGATGAATTCAGTTTCATCGCCACCGGACGCCAACCAAAAAAAGTAACCGTACCTTTCCGTAAAACGACAGCCCAATCACCTTCCAGATCCATTGTAACAGGTCAACCACGTCACCCTCTCTCCCTCTCCCTCCTCCCCGTGCGCGTCGTCGTCCCCGACAAGCCCCGCACGCACACAAGAGGAACCCGCCGTGAAATGACCGGAGTGCCCCTGGGCCCCCCCCCTCCTCCCCTCCGCGACACGTCCCCTGCTGCTGCTGCTGCTGCTGCTACTAGTACTGCTGCTCCTCCGCTCTCTTTTGACTCCTCGCGGCACCGATTCTCGACAGAAAAGATGGAGCCTCCCTCCTCCTCCTCCTCCTCTCCCGGCCCCGGCGCCGCTCGCCGGAGCTCCGACGCCGCCAGCGATCGGGACCGAGCCGGTCGCTTCCCCAATTCTGGCTCCCAAGCCCCCGGCGGCCGCGGCGCCAGGTACAAGCTGATGTCGCCGGCGAGGCTCCCGATCTCCAGGTCGGCTCGCGTTGCGGTCCCTCCTCCCGTGCTGAGCCCGACGTGTTTTCTCGAGTCTCCGGTTCTCCTTTCTAATGTGAAGGTCCGCATTCTGCTTCTGGTCGCATTGGGATTTTTTCTTTTTCCTTCTTCGTTTGGCGAGGGAGTATAGTGGGAGTGTGAGGATAGGAGTTGAAAATGCGACTGTCTGGAGTTACTGAGGAAGGTAGCAGTTCATAGAATATGTGCTCCTTTTGGTTGCTCGGATGAGAATTGAGTGATGAATTTGAATTGTGAAGAAGCGTCCATGCTTGGTATTGAGAGCTTATTGAGAGTACGAACAGCTTATGGCTCGGTTAGGATTGATCTCTTTCCCAATTTTGAGGGGCTGGGGGGACACGGTGAACAGGCCGAGCTATGTTTGTTTTACTCGAATGTTTCTAGTGTCAAGGCAATGCTCCAGGTTCTGTTGCATTTGAATATGGGCTGCTCCATCGGAGTTTGATATGTGAGATTTTGTTCAAGCTTTTCATATTTCTAGATGAACTTCCTGTTACATAGGTCTAGATTTCTTTATCGACTTATAGCTGCCTGGTGCTTGCTTTGGTGGAGAATCTTTCGGGTTAAACGTTTCGGGTGACACGATTTGCTTGCTTAATTTTAATCTACATATGATGCTCTTGCTTTAAGCAAAGTTCGAGATTCTCATCACCGTACTGGTTTGTTTTGTTGTTTCCTTTTTAATGAGGGATCATACATCTAATGCTCATGCTTAATCTCTCCCTATAAGCGATTTTATATCATAGGTGCTTATGATGGAGCCACTAGATTCTGATGCTCACCCTTGTACCATATGGTGGTGGCTCTTTATGCCCTCATAGAGTGTCCACTGGAATTTAATCTTGGAATATGGCTCCGTGTAAAGCTTTTGAACCTTTCCCTTTCCTAATGGCAGTGTTGTTTCTTCACATAATGAATCCTCCCATATCTTTTCTCCTTTTTTAACGGTGGGTTTTGGTCTTCTAGAAACATATCCACTGTCTGTGGGGAGCAAGGAATATTGTGCCAATAAGTTTTGAGTTTTTTAGTTCGTCAGAGATGCTAAAATGACGCGCAACCAGTAGGAGGATGGGTCCATTCAATGACAAATACCTGCTGTCTGCAAGAATAAACACATATTCCTCTATCTGACGCAAAGATCCACTCGGCCTAAACTGAATTGTGCTTATAAGACCTCTGTTAAGTAGGAGTAGAACCTCAGTAAGGAAGTACAGAGCTATCAGTTCGCAATCAATGAGCAAATTGCCACGCATGGTAGATTACACTTCGTTTATCTTATGATTAGATACTCACCTATACTTTTAAGTTTGCAGCGTCATAGGAGTAAGAACTTATCAAGTATTGAGGTTCCTGGGCAAACTTTTTCTCTTTTTATCTGATGCTTTTATCTTCTATAACTACAGTTGTTCCTTTCCTTTCTGGCTATCTACAGTTACTAGTAGGGTAGCCTCTGAACACGTTTAATGTGCTCTGGCTTTTTCAGGTAGAGCCTTCGCCAACAACTGGTTCCTTTGCAGAGAGGCGAATGCTGCACAGTTCCATCAGCTCAACAACCAGTTTGACAAACAATCATCCCTCCTATCCTGATAGATTTGATAAAAACGAATCGGGCTTCTTTGAGTTCCAACCCTCACCAAGACCAAATCTGGTAATGTGCCAAACAATAGGATTCTTCTGACATGTGTACCGAGTACTGACTACTGAATAGTTCTTTTTTGAAGCCTTTCTCTAATTAGGCGAATTTTTTGCATTTAGAATTTCCTCCATATGATTTGACACTGTGTTGTACGTTTTTGGAATTGAACATCCACCCTGCCTTTAAGATTTGTTATCAAGAGATTATGTCTAAAAAGTTGTGAAGATGTAATTATTGCATTGTACCCACAGAACCTGATGAATCTTTGGCGCTTTGCGTGTAGTGATTGTTCTGTCTTCTCTTACCTCTCAAGCTTAAGACAGTGATGCCATATATATTGTATGGATTCTTGCCAGCATGATTACCTTGAATAGTAGCCAAAATTTCTCTCCTCCTTTTGCGCTGAAACAGTCTCTTCTACTGTAAAAAAACAGTTCATGTAACAGATAGGCAGAAATACGCTGTCATTATTGACAGTGCACCTCCGCATATTGATGCTTTGTCTATGGTCATTCCTAAATACCTCTTCCATTTCAGGATGACAGCACATTTAAAGCATAGGCAGAACCACACTGTCATTGTTTCTAGCCTCTTACATGCTAATGCTTTGTTTACTGGTCTTACTGAGTTTGTTAAGGGTTCGATTTTACTATGATGCTGCTGTACGTGCCATATATCTGTCTAGTGGAACTTTCTAATGAAGAATTCTATGTAAGAGTGTAGATATCACTTCATGTCATCTGATTTAGCTTGTTTACTTTTAAGGGTACTGGAGAAGTGAATCACAAAAACAAAGAATCCATGCAAGTCCATAGCCACTCTCAGACTCAATCATTGGCATTGGTGCCTTTTGTCAGAAGTGAATTGGCAGTCTCATCCAGTGAGTTGAGTCTTTCCGCACGTGCTAAATTGGTTCCTTCTGGGGCTAATCTGCCTGATGAAGTTGATTCAGAGGAATCAAACCAGCAAGATCACCTAGGTACTGGCATCCAGGCAACACAATCTGATCATAAAGGAATTGGTCTTTCTGTCATGGCTGAGAGATTGTCTGATGATGGATACAACTGGCGGAAATATGGACAAAAACATGTCAAAGGAAGTGTGTTCCCACGTAGTTATTACAAATGTACACATCCTAACTGTGAAGTGAAAAAGCTTTTTGAACGCTCCCCTGATGGGCATATAACTGAGATTATTTACAAAGGAACACATGATCATCCCAAACCACAACCAAACCGGCGTGTTACTGGGGGGATTATGATGCATATCCAAGGAGAAAGATCTGCTAATGTTTCACCTTTAATTGGTGGTATGGTTTTTCTTTTGCATGCTTTCTTGGCCAACAAGCTGAAACAGAAGTAATCTCACTTCTATTCCTTATCCTACAGAGACTTCATCAAACGTCTATTGCCAAACTTCCAACATCATTGAGCCAAAGAGTACTACACAACTATCTCTGGCAGCTGGGAATGAGGATAGTGTTGAAGGTGCCGCTTCCTTATCATATAGGATTCATGATGAGGTTGATGAAGATGATCCTTTCTCAAAGAGAAGGTATTAATTTTTCAAAGGGGTATTAATTTTCTTGTTTATTTCTTCCCTTTCTTTATCCTGAGTGGAAAGTAATATGTAACTGAAGCTTGCTCAACAGGAGGATGGACATTGGAGGGTTAGATGTCACTCCTGTGATTAAACCTATACGAGAAGCACGTGTTGTTGTCCAAACTCTTAGTGAGGTGGATATACTGGATGATGGATATCGATGGCGCAAATATGGTCAGAAGGTGGTGAGAGGCAACCCGAATCCACGGTATGTGATGGAACTGCTTATCAGATGTCGATTAATGCATTTGTAGTCAGTATCTCCTCATCCAGATGACCCCATCATCATGGACACAATACTTGGAGCTCCGCATGCATCTGTTTGATGGTAAAATTAAGGGTTAATACCATGAAAAACCTCAAACTGTTACACCTGTGACAAATTTACCCCGAACTATTTTTTTGACCATAAAAAATCCCAAAATGATATACCTGTGACAATTTTACCCCGAACTATTTTTTTGACCACCAAAAACCCCAAACCGGTATACTCGTGGCAATTTTACCCCGAACTAATTTTTTTACCATCAAAAACCCTAAACTGGTACACCTGTGACAAATTTATCCTTCGTTAGTTTCCGTTAAATTTTACTGTCAAATTGCTAAGTTTGATGACACGTGGTAGTTGATGGGTATACCAATTTGGAGTTTTACCCCTTCTGTTTGTCACAAGTTTACCAATTTGTGGTTTTTCGTGATATTAATTCAATTTAACGGACACTAACGGAGAGTAAATTTGTCACAAATGTACCGGTTTGTAGTTTTTAGTGGTCCAAAAATTAGTTTGGGATAAAATTGTCACAGGTGTATCAGTTTGGGGTTTTTGGTGGTCAAAAAATTAGTTCGGGCTAAAATTGTCACAAGTGTACCAGTTTGGGGTTTTTCGTAGTATTAACCCTATAAAATTAAATACTCATGGATGCGATGCTTGTCTGGATAACTTTCAAGTAGTTCACAGTTCATTGAATTTTGAGTCGCAAGCATTGCTATATACTGCTTAATTATTTGCTCTGTTCCACTGTGAAAGAGGAGCATAAAAGGATGTGGAAGATTAGTACACTTTTGATGGTCACTTTTCTACCTCACATGGTTGATGGCTCCCAAATGATGGGAGCAAACCTTGATTGAGATTCAAAATCCCTTTAGTCTAATGTTGTGCATTTGGGTTGAAATCCAGGTCGTGTGCTTTTTTGGCCGAAAGTCTTGGGCAGGTGCTAGACCTCACAACAGCTTGAGGATATATTTCCACAGTCAAAGTAAACCAAAGATGTGCATTCTAGTACTATTGGATCTCACCTTCCTGCCAATAAACATTGACAGTCATAGCTACAGAAGAAGAAAATTCTTCCGTTTTTATTTTTATCTGCTAGTTTATGAGGAAATGGTGATTAGTGTTATTGTCTTTACTATTTCTTGATAAAAGAATCATGACAATTCGGTTCTTTTAGTACAATTATGTGTGGTTTATTCCTCAAGATAGACCATACCGTTCATTTGCTGGCCTAATATCACCCCCTGGCCTACTACAGGAGTTACTATAAGTGCACCAATGCTGGGTGTCCTGTTAGAAAACACGTGGAGAGAGCATCCAATGATTCCAAAGCTGTCATTACAACCTATGAAGGAAAGCACAACCATGATGTGCCTACCGCAAGAACAAGCAGTCATGACATGGCAGCACCCACTGCTCCAGCCGGACCTTCAAGAATTGGACCAGAAGGAAGGGACACAATCAGCCTTGATCTTGGAGTCGGAATTAGCTCTGCTGCTGAAGCCAGGTCCCCCGAACCGCAGGGTTCACGACATACTATCCATCGGCAGCTGGTTCAAAACCAAATCCACTTGAACAATTCTAATATAAAGGTTCTACGAGCAACCCCAATTTCATCATATTATTATGCTGAAAATTGTGACGCCACCAATTACTGTAGTTCAACGGAAGATTTGAGAGGAGGCCGAGGTGTGGGTATTCCACCTCGAAACCTTTCTTATTCATATCCACAGACCGCGGGAAGATTACTAACTGGGCCATATACTTGTTTACCTCACAACCAGTCTAAATAAGATTCTGAGGCTTTTGTTATATTACCACATAAGTAAAGAGCTGTTCGTTTTATTAACCGGTGCATTTCCTAGTTCGATTGTTTGAATTGCTTATATTTGAGTCACCAGTGTTATTCTGATTGAGTATTGCAGCCCAAGAAGCCAAACCAATCTATATTTACCGACAATGTCGACTTGTCAATGATTGTTACATCAAATCCACACATGGTGACAATACTACAGAGAGCTTGTCATTCAAAGCATCTAATCTTTAATGTCTGGTTTGCGCTGATCCATGACGGGATGAATGTCTCAAATTCAGGACTTTGAACCCCTAACTTTTACATGCCCAAAGTCTTACTAACCCGGTAAAGCAGCACAATAAATGTCAGTAGATTTTGCAATGATCGCAAAGCCATCGTTGGGATGAAAAATTGAAATCTGCCTGGTAATTCCGAAAGCCACTCGTTACAGCGGGGCCTTTCTTGAACACGGGCATGGAAAAGCAAATGGCAGCCAAAATTGCAGGACGAGAACAAGTATAAAATCTGTTAGGATTCTGCAAATCTACTCTGCTGTTTCCTTCTCCTACTGGCTTGTAGTGAAGACATAACTACGTGTCTTTCTGGTGAATTCTTTTGTCAGATAACATCACCAAAAGCTTTAAATGCCCAGAGAACCCGATCCAAGCATTCTTAAATTCTCCCTTTTGTCTCGGCTTCCCTGCGCCACTGCAGTCAGGCAACCCCGTAAAGTCGGGAATTTTCCACACAAGCGGAGTTGGTGAAAATTACGTTAGTATCTTTTATCACTGTACAATCACTGGCATTGGTACAACGCCCTTCGCCCTGTACTGAGATAGAGATTCCAAACTGACTAGTAAACAGCGATGATAACCCAAATTGAAAAGAAGAATTAGGCCTAGCGAGAAATTGATGAACTACACGTCTAGATTGTTTGAGGTCGTCCTGTTTTCCAATGCACTGTAAGAACTCTGAGTTCGAGCATTAGTCAAACATATTTCTCAGAATCAATTGTTCGGTTATCTAACGTTCACTGAAGGATCAGAGATTGTCTTTATTCCATAATGTTACTGTACCACAGTGCACGTAACTGCAGGCTGAACCATATCTATAGACAGGAGTCTTTCTTCCTTCTCGAAGAGAGACAGATATGTGCAATGTTGGTTTCCCTCAAGAGGAAGGTCGACTGCGGATGTACGTCGACTGACGTAATTTGGCAACCCGAGAAGCAAAAAGAACATGGCGACTTCGGTTATGTGACTAGGAACAGTTCGCATGGCAAGCTTTTGCACCAAAAGGGTAAGTTATCATGGTAAGTACCGATTCTATATTCTCAGCAAAAACGATTTTTTTTTTTTTTACCAATTGGTAAGAATGAACATCTAGAAAAACAGCATACCCTTTAAGATAGCCACTTTCAGGTTTATGTATAGCTTTGAATGGATGCTTTTGATACAGCTTTTAGAGCTGACGCATGTAGACCCATCAAGGAAGATACTACAGAAGATTGTCCAAGCAGCGGTACCAAAAGCCACAAAGAAACACAGAAAAATCGGGAAGATTCTCAGAGTCAAGAGTCGAGAAGAAATTCTCTTAAGGTATGAGAAACACAGAGAGATGGTCAAAGTTGTATCTTCATTGCAACATCATAAGAACCCGAGAAACTTAGTAGATGGCAACGAACTGCTGCAGTTCTATGGCACGACTATGGCCTGTACTAAGAGAAAGCAAAACTCGGTCAACAAGCTCTGCTACGAGCTCAACTGCCAAGTCTGCAGGATTATAGGTTCGTATTTTGACACAGAATACACCAGAAAACACGGGATTCAGCTGAGCAGAAGCAGCCAGGTATTGACCGAGATCATGAGCAGTGTTTCCAGCGTCAAGAAAGCAAAGAGAGCTGTGATAGTTTGCCGTACAATAGCTGGAAGCGTAGACAGAAATTTTGATGTTAAAGAAAGAGAAAATGATGCAATTGCGTGAGTCAGACAGAGTTCAAGTTCAGACCTTCTCATTGTGAAGAATCCTAATGCTGTGTCGCCATGCTTTGTCATAGTCTATGGCTAATGAGAAATAGCTCCCAACATTAGTTGCAACTTTTATTACTCCGATCGCAACTTGAGTTGACTCTCTGACTGCAACGATATGAAAGAGAAGGGTGAAAAAGGGAAGAACCAATCTCTTCAATTGCTGGATTAATAATAGTCTCGGAGATCTTGTCGAGCAATGTAAAACTTCATTAACAAAGACCCAGGCAGTTGTTCCTGTTCCAGAATTCTCCGCAAACTGAGGGTCCAGGAGACTTCATTAGGAGAGCTTATAGTTCAACAAGAACATCATTTAGGAAAAAAGGGAACCGCAAGAAGCATAGCGAAGCTTAAAAACTAGGACGGGAACAAGCCCGATTTATTTCTTATATAAGATATTACACCTATAGCTAATCTATAGAAGTACAGACAGAACAGAAAAACACTGGAGATGTATGAAAAACTTGAGCATGTAAATGTCTGTCACCTCCATGCACAAGAAGCGACAAGAGGTCGGTTCATCCAGCCAAGGTACAGAGCCCCGTCTCTCTCCTCTAGCGTATACTTATCGCAGTAACTCGACAGCAAACTCTTGATTGTAGCATTCACAAAGGAGCTTAAAGGGTAAGGATTAAAACCAGCCATTATGAACCGCAATCTCCACTTTCCAAGTAACTCATGACGCTCAACTCTCTCTATCCCCTCACATGCAATCAGGTTGACAATATCCCGAGCAAGACAATGCTGCTCGACATTGACCCGCTCCTTGTGCTCCCTTGGCAGAGCCATATCGATGGATTCGAATATTGCCATATAGTAATTAAGCGTCTCAAGAAAACGCGAGAAGAACGGGGCAGTGTTCGTGTTTGATTCTTGCTCGACAAGAGTCACGACTCTCGGGGACAAGCTCTTAGCCATCCTTATAAGCCTATCACGGTGATTCTGTGAACAGACGCTCTCATCCGGTATGTGATGCAACATGAGGGGGAAATTTACAGCTACAGCCTCGCCGGCTCGAATTGGCAGGAGTCCGATTTCAACCTCCGAAGCGGGAACCCCACAAGCATGGAACTGAAACGGTACCCTGCAAGCTTCAGCAAGCCTAGACAACCTCTGGCCGACGATTTCCAAGCCTCCTCCACGGGCATAAGCAGATCCTAGATCGTCAATCCCGGTTATTCGGATACAGGGTGGGCCACCAGGCCGTGCTGCAAGAGCTTGAATCAGGGTGATCCACTGGCTTCCCTGAGCAATCTGAAAATCGATTATATGGATAATGTTTTCGTCCTTCATGGCTTCTGCGATTGCACCGTTCGCAGACATGTACCCAAACTTGAAGTAAGGGCATATTTCATAGAGAATGTGCATGTACGATAGGAGCTCGGCACCAGCAGGCTCTTTGCACTTTAAAGCTTTGTAAATAGAGCTTCCCGAACACGCCAATCTTGCTATGAGCCCTTCCAGCATGTACGCTGATAATCGTTGGATCGGGTCGCCAGAAACTGACACCATTGGGCGTAACTCTGACACCAACCACTCAAATCTTAAGGTGTCGTTGTCTTCGACTGCTTTAGCACAAGCAATGAGTATCTCCTTTAGGTCCCTCCTGGAGACAATCTCCATCAACTCATTACATGTCTCAGTCTCTTGAGAAATCTGGCCAGATCCAACCAAGAAGTTGATATCACCCGTGTGGGGCATGTCTGAGCTGGGTCCTAGCATGACGGTTTCCAGTTCTCGCACTTTTAGTTCGAGTTCATTCAGATGGTCTTGTGCGCAAGAATCAGGAACGGATGCTCGTTTCGATGTGGGACTTCCATCAGGAGAAAACCTCTTGGTTGATGGGGAATCATTTATGTGATAAGGTGCACTTCCTGAGGATGATTCGAGCGTACAATTCCCTTGGCTGCTCTCATCGGAGCATGAGAGATGGTCTAAGTTTGTGATCGAAGACCAATGAGAAGACTCAAGCTCTTTCGCGGGCAGGTTGTAGAACCTGTCTGAAGCATCCCATAATCTTGGCTTCTCTGAAGCTTGCATTAATTACCAGTTCGCCAAGTGCTCAAGGACAAAGTTGAGGATTCAAGCAACCGGATGATCTTCGAGGCACCAATGGTATCAAGCTTAACGGGTAGCTTCACTCTACACATGGAAAAGACCTCGATTGGAACAGCATATGTAGCTTCACTGGCTCTCATGGAACATCAGATAAGGGACTGTTTCAGCATTAATGGCAAACCAAAGGGGATCTCTTATGGACAAATTCCCATAAGCTAATACAGACCATGTATGAACTAGCTCATTCGACTAAAAGTTGGCTGACTCGAGGCAAAACGTACAAAATGACCAGCGAGCGAGGCAGAGTTGTCATGCAACAAATAAATATGGCTAAATAAAATATATTTGCCAACAGAAATCAGAGTATGCTAGTAGAAAAATGAGATAGCTTTGGCGCATGGTGTCATTCTCAAAATTAACTATTTGCATGGTAACCTCGGCCAGACAAGAAGTACAATTGGATCAGATTCACAATTCTTCATTTGTTCAGTCATATGAATTTGCAATCTATCAAGCAAGCACCAAATGACTAATCAGGGTATAAGATCAAGAACTTATGTTTTTTCCCTGCAAAGTTGAAATACTTAAAACGCCAAAAGTGATTAAAAGTAAGAGAGGCATATCGATGTCAAAGACACCGCCGAGAGAACAACTTTTCCTTCAGAGCAGATACTATAAGCTTTTGCCAACTATCTACTGCTGAAATAAATATCAAGCTAACCTAAACTTTCCTGAAGCAACAACATCTGAACAACTGTGTGTGTGTGTGTGTGTGTGTGTGAGAGAGAGAGAGAGAGAGAGAGAGAGAGAGAGAGAGAGAGAGCGCCAGTTCTGAAAGCAGACGACATCCAAAGAACGCCCAAGAACATTCACATCACACTAAAAATAAACCAATTTAGGCCAAAGCTGAAGAAGCAAAAGATCATAATGAGCTAAAAGAGAGAAATGAACTAAGACCACCCATCTAACGCGCTCCACCAAAATGAGAAAAACGAAAAGAAAGGTCAGAAACTTACAGTGAACTAGCGAAGCACAGGCAACTGCAGAACGGTATAGCAGCTCAGGTGAAGATGACACGAAACGAAATTAAGGTAAAGACATCATTTTGATGGAGAGCCAAATCTTTTCTGTAACATTGAAATCCAATCCGAACCACCTGCTTTGCTTCGAAGTTCCGCAGCACGACACCAACAGATTCGAGAGAACCAAAGGCGAGAAACGCAAAGGTGGCCCCCGTGCCTGAGAATGATGTTGGCCGTTTTATAACAAGCCCACGTAACTAACCCACCTTGCTTTTTCGCAGTATTTCCATTACCGCCACTAAACAAATACGTTCAAATAAGATATACAGAAAAGACCGTCCATCGTCATGGGCACTTCTAGAATCCAAGAGAAGGGTGTCATTCGATTCGATCAACTCAAGCAAATTTAGTCTTTTTTAGTGTATACTAGACGCACGGTTCAGAAACAGGAGTCAATGGCCTTTTGGTCTCGCCAAGGAAGAACGCAAGCAAGTGCCAGAAATTATAAGAAAATTCCAACAAAGAAAAGACTTTAAGAAGAAGAAGAATCGTAATTTGGGTGTCCGAGACGATAGAGGAAAAGATTGCAGTAAGAAGTCAGACCACCGTGTGGGTCGGTCCACGCGGTTTGCGCCGAAGCTGTGAACGATATGCCTTGTTCTGCGTTTTCCTGGTCGACATCAAATCCTACCCTCTTTGCCAAATTCTACATTCCTTCGCCTAATTACGTAAATGAAAAGCGCCGTTCATTATTTTCTATTCAAATGCATAATGTCCACCGAATACAATTCATTCCGTCGTGTCGTGGAAGATGACCTGTACTGACATTTCACGATTCTGCCTTCGTTACATGCTTTAAAGATGGTCTATAGTGGATATAACGTTGTTGTTGGTCAATAGTGGTATGATTTTTCTTATAATGTGGTGGCTCGGAGGCAAATTGGCAAGATCTAATCCAATTCTTTGCTGGCTTGCTCATGACGTAATGGTAGCTTCGTCATAAAGTAAGAAGTGGAGTAAGGGTCGGATCCAACTTCGGGAGAGCGAGTTTGACCTGCATTTACCCGTGGGGACCGTTATCCGCTCAAACTCATATCGACGCATTACATTTACAAATTCTCTTGCTGTAGATTGCTATTCGAACTCAACTACATTTCTTTGGAGAAAATGTCATGAACAATCCCTCGACTTTCACCCAGTAATCACTTACATACCTATACTACTGAAGATAACGGATACAAGAATGAGTTCGGCCTTTTCAGGCCACTTTGCACATTCACATCTATTATCATTGTATCCCGTATTTATGAAAATCTCTCCAAAAGTGCCCATCCCAACATTCTACATTCTCGCACCCACCCAAAAACACTTAATTTAACTTAAAAGCAAACTACCCAAACCTTAAGTAAGATGTTGAGATGAGTTTATAAGGAGGGACGATTTGATCTCTTCAACGGGGAGTTCTGTTTAGAGGTACGTTAATAGTTTTTGCGAAAATAGACGCATGGAAGTAATTCTTGGGTTAAGAGTGAGAAACCCTTTTCGATGCTCTTTCGTTTTTCGATAGCTTGGTGTGCTGAATGGAGTCGACTTCAAAGTAAAACATAACGTGACTTTGGTGGCTCCTGATGGTAGTCAAACTTTGACATTTCGGGTATTACTTTCTTCGTCCACGGAAAACATGTATAATATCATTTTTCAGTCATAATATTATTTAATATTCAAACATCTATTCGAGCTTGATTCTATAAGACGTGTCATCGACTTTAATTTGTGCTTGAAAATGTAATTACAAGTTTGATTTAAGTATTGAGTCTCCCGAAAGTTTGAGTCAAGTTGGAATAGTAATTCACTTTTAGGCTTTATTTGTTTTACGAAAAATGTAACGTTTTTAGAAAATATTTTCTAGGTAGTCACTTTTCAGGAAAATGACAATATTTTTTTGTGTTTGGCTAAAACATGAAAATGAACTCAAAAATATTTTCCGTATAATATGAAAATTTTTATTTGATATTTCTAAATAGGCATACACTATTTGGGCACTAAAATTTGCGCATCAACAACCAAAGAACAAGGTACGAACACCAAATTCCCGGGTCCGGTCACGATGGACCTTTACCCGAGCGCCGGGGATCGAGGCGCCGAAGTCCCGAGCCTAGCCTCATGGACCGAGGCACGAGCATCGGGGTCCCGGGCCTCGACCTTGATAGACCTTGGCTCGAGCACCAGGGACTTGAGCCCGAGCGCCGCGGACTCGAGCATGGCCTTTATGGACCCGAGCCCAAGTGTTGGGGATCCGAGCTCGAGTATTGTGATCCCACGCTCGGCTTTTGTAGACCAAGGCCGTGCCAGGGCATTAAGCACGGGCATCGAGACTTTGGGCCCAACCTCATGGGCCAAAGAGTGGGCGCCGGGGACCCTAGCATGAGCATTAGGGTCTCGGATGTGGGCGCTCGAGTCCGAGTCCTGGTCCTGGATGCCGGGGACTGGAGAACCAGCATTGGGGTTTATGTCCAAGCGTAGAGTTTCGATTTCAAGCGTTGCTACCTAGTCATGTATTTGGAAAATGATTTCCGATTTTTTTTAAAAAAATAATTTTCCTAAATTTAAGTATAGGTTTTCCACTGATTAGAAAAAGTTTCCCGTTGACTCATTTTCTTAAGCAAATCAAATGCCGGAAAATATTTTCTACGAAACAAATGGAACTTAGCTTGGCTTGACCACTACCTACTCAAATATTCTCGTCTTGACTAACTTATTCCAATTATTAATAAACTCATCTTCGCTAAACTCTTATATATTAACAATCCAATAATCCTAACTAGAATAAACTCCAACCAGCGCAAATCCTTGCTGCCGCAGCATAATCACCGGTGGACCATCATCAGCTGTATATAATTAGTTTTATCTGTTCTAATCATATCTAATATAACATAATATAATAACCAACCCTTTACATAGCTCATAAAGAACAAGGACCATCAGCATGACCTAACGTGGCCGTCATGTCTTTTTGGCGGTATTTTCGTGTGCTCGAACTTCACCGTCGGACTCATCACGGTTCTTATAAAATTTGAGCAATTTGTCCCCAATCCGAAGGGAGGGCACGCAAATTCCAAGCATATAATCATGAGTCCAACGACCCTTTTGGCCCCCGCATAATCGCGAAATGATTAACAAACTTGGCGTCGAAGGGTGCATCGGTGCGAAAGATCAAGCAATCAATCAGCTCAGAAGAGAAAGTCCGCGATAGTTGTCCATGTCGATCCCCAATGAAGTCAATGATGGAAATGGTTGTCCATGTCGATCTCCAGTAATGTCTTGCATAAGGAGTGACGTGGGAATTCAAGAAAGTCAAGTTTGGCTTTGTGAATGCGGATTCAACCTCTGTCAATTCGAGGACAACTTGACATCCTCGACATACCTCGGGAATCTACTTTAGACGAATCTCATAAATGAAATTGAAGAAAAAAAAGGTTAGTTTCTTCCTCAAGAATTTATGAATTTTGTCGTAAGTTTTAGATTTCGCCTGTAGACTGTAGTTAACGACCAAATCCAATGAATTCTTCAAAGTGGTAGATTGAAGACATGCAATTAAGAATCTCAACCGTAATGTACAGACGTGGGGAGGGCATCATTGCCATTGAAGCTAAGTGGGGGAACATGTGTGGTTCTCCGAGGCTATGGAATAGGACAATTCAAAGGGATGGAGCACGTTCATGCTGCTGATTGGTCTTTGCTTTCCAGCGAGGAAGATGTGAAAGCAACTGGTTTTTTGGTGTCTCAAGGGAATCTTGCACTTTCACAAGCTTACATGGCAGATGAAAATGCAATTAAGAAGTATGATATTCCCGTTCGCAGATTACTACTCAGTTGCTAGTATCTGCTATAATCTTGGTTCTAATTCAATTACTCAACCAAGTCGAGCGAATCGGTAGAACGAGCATTGGATTGTCCGGGGTTCTCCTTAATTAGCAACAATCGGTGCGACGGAAAGCATGCTTCAAAGTGCAGAGGAGTAACTCATATCAATTCTTCGCTTCCAATTTTTCTTGTGCACTTCCTTTAAACATGAGGGGTCTCACTCTTCCAGATGAAAGGTTAAATATATCTGGATTTTAATCGATTGTGTACTGATTTTCCTAACATATTTCATAGCTTAACTGAATTGTTTTTTCTTGACTTTTGTCCTAAATGTCAAATGTGCAGTTGCGCTCCGGCCAATAGGAGATAGGGTTCTCTCCATGCCCGACCACAATTCGAGTCACTAGGTCCCTGTCTTTTTGGCGCACTGCAGGCAGAAGTCAAACCTTTCTGCAGTATATAGACAAGCAAAAGAAGGTAGCGTCCATGTATCTGTATCTGTCGTCGCTTTCTTGGCCAGAACAGAGGCTGATGCATTACCCAGAGAAAGGTGCTGTAATTATTAAAGATCGGCGAAGGACTTTCTTGCACCTCACGTCGAAAGACCCAATCGACACGACAATTCATATGCTTTGTGCAAAGTCAAGCGCGAAACATGCGTGAAGCATAAAGAGTGGACTAAGACCAGAAACCAAATCAAAACCCGACAAAAAGCATGATGAAGTCGCTCCGTTTACTGCGCTTACTATCGTAGCATGGCGAAAAGATAGAACTGGGAAGAGTTTGGGCAACACGAAGGTTTTGAATTCGTAGCCAAGAAGAAAACAGAGGAGTGGGGACAAAAATTTAAAGAAATGCATTGACTTCAGGAGGTGCAGAGGAGAAAAAAAAGCCGAATTCGGTGGCCTAAATAGGTAGATAAGTGGGGATCAGGCTCATAATTAAATGTCAGTGAACTTCAATCCGTACTTAATAGCTGCTTTTCCACTAGATTCGGGCAATTTGCTTCACAATTTGAGCGATAAGCAATGAATTTGCGTTTCTTGGTTGGAACCTGAAACTCACGTTATACCCGTTTGACGTATTGACGTTGAAAGTTTGAAATCAGTCGCTACAAGAATGAGTTTGTCAGTGTTGAGAAAGCAACTTCAGAGAAGATAGATGGGCCGCTAAGTGAGGAAGCAAGCATCATAGAAGAAATGAATTCTCCCTTGCACCAGCAAAGAAGTGGATCAGACCTCAAAAGAGTTTTATGAGGAAGCAAGCATCATATAATGGCACTCGGCCTCTTTGCAGTATCTAAGCCAACAATAGAATTATCATTTTTTGCCACACTCACTGCAAGAGAATGGACCAGATCGTGTTTTTATATACTAACACTTGTACATGCTCCTCAACTTCCTGGATCAAAGATCTCTTCCACAACTCTTTGACGTACTCAACATCAACGTCTTTCAATGTTAGTTTTTCCCTTTTTGAACTGAAGAGTCCAAAAGCCATCCATAACCTAACTAAACGGGGGCCCTTGATTTCACCTCCTTTGAAAATGCGGCAAAACAATGTTTTGATTGGGATGGTAAATGATCATAGCTAAGCTCGAGTACCAGCACAGTGTCCGTTTTTCGCTTCCAGTAACTCCCATGTTTCACTATCCCTTATTGTAGAAAAGGACTCCTTTTTGTATTCAATGAATATGTTTTCTGTACATTTACAAAATAGCTCACGACCACACTTATATGTTTCCAATGCCTATCATCATCCTTTGAATATAGAAGGCTCCCAAGAGTTTTCACTACGAAAGGAACTCCTTGAGATTTTTTGACAATGTCATTTCTAATCTCTAGGAGATCAGGACGTGGCTCCTTTTCCTTTTCGTCAAATGCCCATTTTTTGAATAAGGCCATAGAGTCTTCATGAGAAAAACCTTTTAGATTATACGTTGAATGGGTACCCATAATAGAAGCAACTACCACACTACAATTAGTCACAATTATCGTACTTTCACTAGCCCCTCCGGTTAACAAATCTCTCAATTCTTTCCATCTATTGCGGTCGTTGCTCCAAACGTCATCCAATACTAGCAGAAATAACACACACTATAAGGCTTTCAGCCAGTAATTTGGCACAAATTTTCTCTTAAATGAGGAATTGAGACAAGAATAGGTGCAGTTTCAGCACTGGAACTAATGCAGCAAACTGATCAATTATTCTAATCACATGTACGTACGTTTGGGAGTTGAGATAGGAAAAAAAGCCGTCATTTATCCAAAAGAAAGAGAAGCTGCAGATAGATCCTAACAAAAACAGAGAACAAACTTATATGTAGGTGTACATCATAGAATATTTGAACGATAATCAGCAGTAAATTTTTACACAACAACAAAATTACGCCTTTTCTTGCATGTTTTGATCGTCGTAACATCTTCCAGATTTGCGCTCTGAAACTCCTCCATCTTTCTTTGTGCGTACTCATACTTTTTCTTCTTGCCATATGATTAAAGAGTCAGTCTACTGCTGAAACGAAGAGGGGCAAGGTGAGAATAGAAGTGCAGATTTTTCATGACAACCTGCGAGACATTACAGACTCTGCCGAGAAATTGGCCAGCAATGTGCAGACAGCTTGATTTGATGCATCTTTATCCGTTCTTTTGTTTCAACATCACTATGATTGAATGATCGATGAGCAAAATTTTCACGGACTACAGATTCAGGAAAAACCTTCGTCTTAGAAGAATAGTAGGTATATCACTGATTAAACCTTCACGAACATTCCAGGGAAGTGGTAAATGTGGTCTAACCAGAGAAGAATCTTTTCCATGACTGCCATGGGAGAAATCCACCTGCAACGGAAGTAGCAACAAAGTGACAAATGCGGAACGAAGCCGAGTACCCTAGAATCATGCAAAACCACATCCTTACCACATCCAGGACAGCGGAAATAGTACTTGTCCCTAAGGACAAGCCCTGAGCCGCCACAAACTTCGCATTTTCTTTGGGCTATCTGGCAGTGCAGAAGTGATGCAAAAATACAATGAGAATCTCATACAAACGTCAGAAAGCTATAGAATACCGACGGGGACATGATGATCTATTGAAATCTCTCGTTTTGATTTTGAAAACCTAAAAAATAAATTCTCACGATTCTTTTGCTGAACTCAATCCCTGCAACCACAAATGGCGTGACACCAGCTGCACAACACAGTTTGAAAATGGAATCAACAATCAAAATCGAAGACTACACGGTCGAAATTGCTGTAGAACGTCGAATTATGGATAGTCAGATTGATGAAGAATAGAAAATAGATTCAATACTAAGAAAAACAAGCCAGTTCAATTATTTACTACCATAAAATCTGAGAACATAGACAGATGCTTCACTGATCCCAACACAACACGAGCATTCCTCAGCAATCTCATGGAAGCAGCAGTTCTTGATGCTAATGATCGAAGTAGTTCTTTTTAATCAGCACCCATTTCCTGTCTAATACTTCTCTTACATTGTCGTCCCACGACGACGACAAATCAGCTTGGCAATAAGATGAGGGCTGCTCGTTTGCCTCGGCACAAAACGAGTTTCATAATCACATATTCCAGCCGAAAAAGATCACTTTACACTAGTAGATGGAGACTATTAAAAGTAATAAATTAGCAAACGATGCCTCTGTCTATCAGCATTTGAAATTTCCATAAGCGTCTATTAGATTGGTCATAGATGAATTAGCGAAGAACCCTAGAACACGAAATATCACACATTCTTCTGCTTTCCCGGACCTTTTTCTCCTCCAACCAGATACTAAGAACAACACACTGAATCAAATCAACGAAGAGTTCAACGATACCTATGGCTCCGACCACTGTTTGCCACGCAACCTCGGCGTGGCCCGGATCTGCCGCGGCCGAAACGGCGTCCATGGCGGCGATTCTCCTCTTCAGTGTCGCCTTCCCGTTCAACCGATCGCTCCTACTCTTGCAGATGCAATTAACGACTGGTTTCGAGCGCCCCGCGACTCCGGTTCTACTGAATGATTGAGGGATCGTTGAGCTGATTATAGGTGGAGAAGAAGAGATTGAAGCTTCCATGTCAAAGAACCAGAGAGCGAGCGAGCGTGAGAGAGTGCGTGTGGGGAACTGGAGGCAAAGCTAACGGAATTTGGAGAGAGATCGTATCGAAACGGGCCACGTCGCGCTGATTGGGTCGGGTTCGCGCCAACCACAGAAGGATCCATCATCGTGTGGCTCCTGTCCAATCGGATTTCTCCGAGACAAGAATCTCTTTCTCCAAGCGTTAGCTGTTAACTTAACTACGTTTAACGCGACAAAACCTCTCGTTAAACCCCTCCCAAAAACAAACGACCCCACTTCTTCTGCTCCGACAGAGAGAGAGAGAGAGAGAGAGAGCGAAGCGGAAGGAGGAAGATGACAGGAACCGCTGCGGCGCATCATCTCCGCTAGGGTTTTTGAGTATATTCTCCGTCTGTCGGTACTCTCTCTCTCTCTCTCTCTCTCTCTCCTTATCCCCAACGCTCTCCCTTCCCGAGGCGAATGGCAGGCTTCTCCATCTGCGCCTTCGTTCCTGCGCTCCGCTCCCAACCGGGTCCCAGCCCGGAGGTGCTTCGGCCTCGACGCGCTCCGCATTCCCTCTCGCGCGGAGCCGGGGAGAGGATCGACGGGCGAGGCGCGAGCTCCCGGAGGTTCGTGGTCATGTCCACGCACTCCAATCCCAGGATTCTCAAGGTCAATCGGAAGTCCAGGTACGGGCGGCCCCTGTCGCCCTTCGACAGCGACGACGACGAGGAGGGTGTGGAGTTCGATGACGGCGAGGATGAGGACGAGGAGGATTGGTCGGATGAGGTGAGTTTTTTTTTTTTTTTTGTAACTTTTTCTGCTTCATATTTCGAGTATGTGATGCTTGCTTGCAATGCCCGAGAGGAGCTTTCATGGTGTTTGCTTACGGAGTCCATAACTAGGCGTCTGTTCTTCGAAAATAACGAGTGTATTTTGATTTTGCTGCTCCTGCTCGGGTATGCTCGAGCCTTAGCTGGTTCTTCTCGAGCAAGCTTTAATGTGGAGCTGACAAATTATGAGTGTGCCATGGTTTCATCAGAGATTGCATGGCATGGCATTTTTCACCTTTCGGAAGTGGTTAATGCTTTGAATCTCCTCCATTTCAGTATAGGGAAGTTAGTCTAGAATCTGTTAGGTGAAGCACCACAAGTATCTCGCAGCATTTTGACCAGCTTTGTCACTGTTTTGTTCCTCCAAGGAGCTAGGGACCCAGGGGTTGCTCTGGTTGGCCATTAGAAAGGGGAGGAAAACGAAAATTAAGAAGGGAATCCTTGCTATAATTTGTTGTCTCCTTAGTTATGTATTAGATGATAAGGAACGATTTTGTTGACTAAAGTGACCAGGAGGATAACTGAATGTGTCATGAATTTAGTGATTCCATTGTAACTCTGTTTGCTTCTGCGATGACTGGTGATAGGTTGTTGCTCTGTGTTGTTAGGTCGACTTATAATTCTTGCGGGATCAATAATACTTGGTGAATTGGACTTGGTTCGTGTCAAACTAAATAGAGAGGAGGAGAGCTGTAGGTTTAGTCCGTAATTAATTGCTGATTCGGGTCTTTTTTCACCTTAAGGATGAACTGAATCTGCAGAGCTTTTCTTGGTATACCTGGGATGGGAAATAATTTTGGAGGAAAAGATAACAAGTTCTCTTAATTCGATGAATGTTAATTTTAAGAGCTTATTCCGGATCTTAGAATCTCTGAAGAGATTTTGTTTTGGGTTGCTCACCTTGTAATGCCTTAGTCTCGTTGTTGATGTTTTATCCGTATTTCTTTTGAAATATTGCTGCATGCAACTAGAAGTTTTTCCCTGTGTCCTCTTTTTGGAGGTATGAAACTATGTTGTTGGGCAGGTAGCTGCAGATTGCAGTGGGTGCTTCCTGCCTTGTGTTTGCTTTTGCGAGTCTATATTTGTTGAAGAATTTTTTTTCTTTCTTCTGGAGTAACCTGAGTTTAGTTTTGCCATGTCCTCTCAAGGATGAATTTGCAGAAATAGCAGAATATGAAGAGCAAAATAAAGATAAGAGGAAGAAAGGTAGGCCTGCACACAGTTTAACCTGTATAAAGTCTCTGGTAGACTAGTAATTCATTATGTTGTTTGCAGACAGCAGGAGACAACCGAACAAAGGTTGGAGATCAGGTTCCCTGAATTCTAGGCAGCAGAACGATCATAATGAAAATAAGAATCCAGCGAGAAATGCCGCGAATACTTTTCCCACTCCCGACCACAAAAAGGAATATGCTTCCTACAGTGTAATTGGAAGGGGAAAGGTGAGTTCTTGCGACACAGGGAACTCTTAAAATGGGTTTTGACTTGTTTCAAGTGGCAAATCATCTGTGTCCTTTTTCTTTTTTGGCTTTTTAGCAGAAAGAAATCAAACCTCGCCAGCATGGATTTCCTAGGCTTTCTGAAGAAATAGATTTGGACAAGAGATGGATCCCTCTTCTTGATTACTTGTGCACTTTCGGACTTAAAGAATCGCATTTTCTTCAAATGTACGAGAGACACATGCCTTCACTGCAAATAAATGTTGTCTCTGCAAAGGAGAGGTTGGATTACTTGTTGAGCATCGGCGTAAAAAATCGCGATGTCAAAAGAATACTTTTGAGGCAGCCACAGATTTTACAGTACACAGTGGAGAACAATTTGAAGTCCCATGTTGCGTTTTTGATGGGACTGGGCATACCAAATTCTCGAATAGGACAGATTATTGCTGCTGCTCCATCCCTGTTTTCTTATAGTGTTGAGAATTCTTTAAAACCCACGGTTCGCTACTTAGTTGAGGAGGTTGGCATCAAGGAAAAGGACTTAGGTAAAGTGGTGCAGCTAAGCCCTCAAATACTTGTCCAGCGAATTGACGTCTCATGGAATACTCGCTATTTCTTCCTGTCAAAGGAAATAGGAGCACCAAGAGACAGTGTAGTGAAGATGGTAACGAAACATCCCCAGCTCCTGCATTACAGTATTGATGATGGACTGCTGCCAAGAATCAATTTTCTGAGGAGTATTGGGATGTGCAACTCTGACATCTTAAAAGTTTTGACCAGCCTTACACAGGTAATATTTTCCCTTCTGATTGCTTCGGACTACTAATTATCCGGCGCCTCGCCTTTACCCGAATCATTCTGGTTGTGGCATTGCACAGTATCTGTAGTAATAATCATTAATCTTTCTTTTCAAGAACGAAAGAACAATTTTGATTCTGCAAGAGATGAAGCCTATAATTGTTTTTCACATCTTGATGTTTCTAAAATATGCAATTCTGAATAAGTCAATCGTTGTCTTAGCAGGTGTTATCTTTGTCGTTGGAGGACAATCTTAAACCTAAATACAAGTACTTGATTAACGAACTTCGCAATGAAGTGCGTTCTTTAACCAAGTACCCAATGTATCTGAGTTTGTCTTTGGACCAGAGAATCCGCCCTCGCCACAGGTTTTTGGTTTCCCTAAAGAAAGCTCCCAATGGCCCATTTCCCTTGAGTTATTTTGTTCCAACAGATGAGTGTTTCTGCGAGCAGTGGGCTGGGACCAGTTTAGATAAGTATCTGGCATTTCGTCAGAGGCTACTGCTGAAGGATTTTGCAAAGAAATATGAGAAACAAAGATAGCATTTTCACGAGAGTATACTAACCGATATATTGGAAGAACTGAGCGGTCATGCTCTAACATACCCCTTGAACTGCTGAATTTTGCAACAAGTGCTGTGGAAGTCTTGTACTACTTACCAGCAGATTATCTTTAAGTAAAAACACAGGTAAGCATGTGTTGCTTAGTTTATTAAATGCCTTGCTTCTGTTATTCTGGGTTTCAATCTTGTGAACCTTACAGAATTTGCAGCTTCTTTGGACGCTGATGGGGAATACAAATGGGGACAGCAAGACAATTGTTTTTAAACTTTCTGATACGAGTTCAGTACATATGGCTGAGCGGAATGATAGAAACAGACACATGCGGTAAATGATCCAGGGTCCCTCATCTTCGAGATGTCTCTCTTACAAGCAGTTGATTTCTTGAGGTCGGGGCCATCTTCAGGCAATTTTGATGTATGAATTTTGTCTAAGGCAATAATCTTGTAGATAATTGTAAAATATGAGAAATGTGATGCAAGTTTATGACATGTTCTGCCTTATAATGTTGTCATACCTTCCCTAAATATTTAACATTCAAAATTACAGCGCTGTTGTCTTTTGCACGACAGGTTTCTTTACCGTAACTAGAGTGTAAATAGTGTCGTGAATGTATACTATGAAAAGAGGACTGGTCATTATTCCGAAACTCTGTTGCACGAGTGCCTTTTACTCCTCGTACTAGAAATCGGTTTCTTGCTTTGGTAATAAAAGTTGATACGCGATAGCATCGTCGAGCAATATGGATTTGCGAATGCCGATTTTGAGCATGTCAAAGTTTCACAAAGGCGAACAAGTTCGGAGGCAGCTAAAACTTAAAAAGGAACTTCTGCATTCGGGTGCTTTTTCATCGGCTCTGAATGCACACGTTTCATGAAAAACTAGAAACTGCACCGCAGGACACACTCAGGTTCTTTCTACTTCTTCAATGTCAGTTTGACTAATCCTAGCTGTTAAGCAATGTGCTTCAATCCAGCACAAAGACTGGTAAAGGACTGGTGAAAGAATTAAAAGACTTGGGGGGAACTAAAACTGAAAAAGGAGCATTGCGAAGGAGCTTCACCATGACCTCACTGTGAAGTAGGAAGCCCCTTCTTCGTCCAGGCAGAGTACCCACCTGCGACGTTTGCAACCCGGCCAAAACCCTGCATAAATCATTACCACGTAGCACATTTAGCATTCGAGAAGCGAACAGATCTTATGGGTCACGTGTACCATCAGGTCTGATTTGTGCCATTAACTTCTTTATGCTTGGATCAAGATTTTGGCTTCGTGTCGATAGAATGTCTAGCAAAATTTGTTCTGGAGTTCTGTTGCTTACACTGATATTCTCTAAGCACAGTATTAATCCCCTGGATTAAAATTAGAACCAGCATCTCACTGAAATGCCAGTAGGACATGTCGCTGTCTAATCCCAAACATTTTTGTGGAAATCGTATGGTATTCCGAATTAAGATACTTCAATTTGGAAATAAATTTTTCCATTCGTTGTGAAGGAAATGAGTTGCACGGCCTTAAACTCGAATGCACAAAGGAATCTTTAGAAGCTGTACTCACAGCAGATTGAAGATCGGTCACAGCCATGAGAGACCTCCTTCCACTCTGACACCCCTGATGTAGCAACAAGAATGGTAAACCTTCAATACGAGGGAATTCAAACCCGCGAAAAAGCTTGCACAAAAAACATACCACAAGGAGCGCGTCGTCTTTGGCAAAGTGCGAGGATACTTCATCCAAGAATTGTGGGTTCTTCGACATTTCTGTAAAAGTCAGCAGAACAGTGAGCAACCCATTAAAGAGGACGACTTTTCTGTGTTTCTTCAATAATCCAAGTGCACGTCAAACTTTCATGTAGCTGGCTAGCTGCTAGTAAATGGGAATCCATGATGGTCCTTTCTTTTTTGTTTATCTATAGATTTTTGGTTGTGAACTAAGCGAATTCAATGTGCTATTGTTTTAACTTTTCCGATCACTTGAGAGTTCCATATAAATTCTACATATACATATGCCCAAGTCAAGAAATTCAAAATTCCGAGCAGTTGAAGAACCTCTAGATCTGTGGGAGCATTCATCAACACCGAGTGGTCATCGACAAAGGAATAAGAATGATGAAGAAATGTACCTGCACCAATCCTGAACATGTAAGGGATGTTCAAAGCTCCTGGTGGATGTCCAGCCTTAAATTCATCATCCGTCCTGAAGCAAATAGATGACCAATAAATTGTTTCAGCGTTGCTAAAAGCTCAAGCAAGTTTTTTGTGCCAAAGAAATACATGAGCTATTGGCGCACAATATAATTTCTCTCCCTCTCTCTCTCTCTCTCTCTCTCTCTGCGCACGCCTGTGTGATCTTCTCTGTTTTGGATATGGATAACTGGTGCTAGCCCTACGAAAGATATCTGCGACCTTATTTCATCGGGTCAAGTCGTTCGAGTTCACTCATGCTCGAACTCGCAAGAAGAGCACATTGTAGCTATGTCGAATCCTATAACATACTCTTTGCTACTGATCAAATGATCCTGATACGATATATAAGAAAATTCACGAAGAAATTTCTCAAGCAACATCATTATACCTGACGTCCAGGTATCGATGTCCCTTGCTGAGGAGCTCGTGCGCGACATTGACCGCCACAGATCGCGACTCCGCCGCCGTGGATTCGGCATTTCTCGCGATATCGGTCAACCCCCTAAAAACAGCATAAAACAGTCCGCTCACCGACAAAAAACAAGGAATCAATCAGAAGGCTCAGAGAAACAGAGACAGAGGACCTGAAGGTCTGGTAATGAGTGGGAAGAATAGGGAGCACCGAACGAGCGAGGCGAGAAGCGGGAATGACGGAAGCCGTAGCCATAGCCAAAGTCTCGCATGAACACGACGACAACGTCCCAGATCTTTTTTGCTTATTGATCGTCACGTTCGTGGAGTCTCTCTCTCTCGCTGCGAACGATGCGCTTCTCTGTCGACTGATTCCTAGACCTTCTCACGTGTTAACGGACGAAGCCAATTAGGATTTGGCCATCCATAGCATCGGTCTTACTTCGTTACGGCACATTTGTTAGAAGCTCTTGACTTCAGAGCAGAATGGATAGAGTCAGAGTCACTACATTAAGCCCATTTGCGTACTAATTACTCTAATGAGAGTTGGGCTGGGCCCAGTTTTGTCAGATCTTCATTTCCTTACTGTCATTTACTAATTACTATAATGAGAGTTGGGCTGGGCCCAGTTTTGGCACGCAGAATGCAAAATTGGTTTTTTTGTTAGGCATAATTTCATTAAGTATCTCAATGGACAAATTTGAACCCGTTTCGTCTCCCAAGATTCCTCAGATGTGCTCTTCGTGCTGCAGAGGAATCTAAGCTTATTAATCTCGAAAGGCATATTGTCCTGAAATAACCATTAAATAGAATGGGGTACTCTGTCTTGTGATGGGTGGTGGCTTGCCTGGTTGGCCAAACTAGCTTCTCTGTTCAGAAATGGCTCTTCATTCTTCTATTCGCGCGCTTCTAATCTTTGTGCTATTTCCATTATGCGTAAGCATCTTTAGCTTATGTGGCCTCCTAGTACAAATGACAAATGACCTCGCGAAGACTGCTTGTGATAGCTTTCACCTGGAGAAGCAAGTTTTCATGACCCATCACTTGATCAAACACCCACCCTAATGACCCTTTCAAAACTTTTCACAATGAATAAAGGAGAACTAATACTTTCAGGATGCCAATCCTTGCAACGTAAGGACTGTACTGGACGGACAAAAGTTGTTAAAAACGAAACTCGAGTTTGACACGTCTTAGAGTGCGATTCACTCCGATACAACAACCATGACTCGAGTCTCCGCACGAGCAAAGACCATTTCAAAAAGTTAAAAAATCAAAGAAACAGACCACCACGGATAGTCATGCAAGGTGTAAAACCACCGACATAGTTCTCTGAGTACCTGAGCTGAGACGGTTAACATCGCCAAATCAGTTACAAAAGGGCTACAGAAAAAGCATGCTAAACCAGATTTCCTTGGACTACTTCCCCGCCTTTCTTACCAGTCCAAAGTCTCTTCTAACTATCAGCACTTGATTTACTTATGAACCGGGAAATATTTCTTGGCCATCTTCAGGTCAAACTCTAATGGTCAGCTCTCTCAGCATCAAAGCTTTGCCTCAGCTTTAATCTTTCTCTGTACTCCTGCAACTCCCTCTTGTATCTTTCTTTGTCTTTCTGTCCAATTTTCTGGTACACCTGCAAATAGAAACGATACATATGAACATGCATTTCAGTGGGAACTACAAAAACCTCTTTTCTTATTCTTTATTCTGTTTTCTTCATATGCTATCAAGTTCTATACAAACTCTTTCGTTATACTATCTGCATAGAGACCCACGAGGTGAAACCAAAAGAACTTAATTCTCTCGAGGTTGACTTGACTTTACCGTTCGCTCTTCGGGGCCGAGTTTGGTCCAGGACTCGCCTATCATTTTCGTGAACTCCCTTTCTCTATTTGGGTAGAGCGATTTCAGCTTATAATGTTTCTCAGCAAAGAAGAAGTTATAGCCGCTCCTGTTGGGCTTCGGGTAGCTCGGATCTCCTCGTCTCCTGCTCCTTCGTCTACGGCCATGGCGAGTCTTGCGGGTGTATGGCACCAAGGCATTTGAATGCGTTGTTGGGTTAGGTGGGCCTTGATGATCTGGGTGATACAGTACTCCTTTAAGAATCTCAGAGCCCAACTTCACCGAGACCAAGTAGCCACAATCGAATTTGCCATCAATCGTACCAACAGCTTCAAAGCATGACTTTCCTGTGTAAAAAGGCAGAAGAGCTAATGATGGTCAGCAACTGAATGAGCTAATAAGTGATCCTAGAGGCTATGCCAAATAGTGTTTATACTAGTAACTGCACCAAACCATGAATATATAGTTTTCAGTTGTAATTTTTAGCGTGTAAACAGGTTCAAATGAATAAGTTGACTGAAAGCCAACTTCCCCATGTTAAAGCAGATAACCCTCTAGCCACATAGTCAGCTTTTCGCATGTCCAGATAGTCCCCTCTTCACATGTTTAGATGAACCCATTTAAATGCATTTTCAGAGGCAAATCAGCAATTCAGCTATTGCGCTTGCCTTGAGTGTTATTGCGTCTGTAAGGGTAAAAATACCAGCTGCACAGATACAAGTCAAATTTTCCTATCATGTAGTTGTTTGCCGTAATTTAAGAGCAAATTAGATAGAAGAACTAGCTTCAAGATTTAAGCGACATGAGGTGAAGAGATTCTAGACAGAAGTGATGAGTTTAGGAATCATCTTTCGAGATTTCAACAACAAATTTAACAAACTATCAACCAATTTAAAACAACTTGAATTTCATAAAAGACAGGTCAACCCACGTTACTCCTTCAAAGGCCATAATTACACAACTGCACATCTTTAAGATCGAATCTAGCGGATCATGAGAATATAGTTATATATGTTGGAAGCAAAACAAAATAGACACTATTAAATGATGTCCCATTGTCTACCATAGGGATAATACAACCAATATTCAATTGTCTACATTGCACACTGTTTACTGTGATGCCGGTTTGCACGAGTTTTTGACCTTGTCCCACTTTGTCAATATATTTTAATAAGAGACGAATACAGAGAAAGCAACAGACCTCCAACCACAGAATCAGGACAATTAGATTTTGCAGCAGAGGAACATTCCCTGATTGCTAATTCATGTTTGCCCGAAGACACAGGAGAAGAAAACACATCTGCAACAAGACAGAATTTTTACTTATTTAACAAACTCATACTACTAAACAGGCCAAAAAAGCGCATCAGTCTCTCTACTCATAAAAGAACTCTCAACGAAGCAGAGGCAGTGGTTATAAACACACACACACACACACACACACACACACACACACACAAACACAATAATGGAAAAAAAAAACACCTACATAAGCCAGAGGAAGAATTAGCGAAAGACCTGGAGGAGAACGAAGTGGACCATGCTGCTTAAAGAAGTAAACTTGCTCATAATGGTAGAGGAAACTGAAGTAGTGCTTTTTCAGGACAAAGGAAGCACTTGTTGTTGTTGGAGAAAACCTGAACACGTTGCTGACTTCCCTCCATTTCTTCTCTGCCACTACCTACAGGAACAAAGTAAATATACAAAAAAAAAAAAAATAAATGGCTTCGTGAAAAATCAAAATGTGGGTCCAAAAGAAAAACCAGAGAGAGAACACATCGAAGGGAAAGAAAAAAAAAACAAACAATAGCCTGACCTTTTCGTAACCGCCCTTCCCAGTAACCTCCACATACAGAACGTGCAAGTCAAGGTCCTTCCCTCCAATCACAGGAACCCTTGAACACGTTTGGCAACCCCACAAAAAAGAAAGAAAGAGAGAGAAAAACTCGATAAAAATGAAGAGCAACAGCAAGAAAAATGTGATAAAGGTATCAGATTCAACGAGCATAAAGAGAAAGAGGCCTCACATGAACTTTGTACCCATCATGAAATGGAAACGCCTGAGCGTGTCCCAGAAGAGAACGTGGTCCTTAACGACGTCGCCGTGAGAGGCGAGAGCTGCCGGATAAAGCTTGCCGTTCCAGCTCTCGCACCGGCCGTCCGGCGACATGGGTCTCCTCGGAGAGCGAAGGAGGAGGAGGAGGTGGAGGTGGAGGTGAAGGTGGAGGAGGAGCAAGAAGCAAGGGGGTCGGAGATGAGACGGAAGAAGAGTTTTTTTCGGTCTTTTGCTTTCGATGCTTAATGAAAATGATGGTGAAGAGATTGGCGTGTGTGATCAGGAAGTTAAGCACGAAAGGGATTGTAATTAAAGAGGTGAAGTCCCAAAGCAAGAGCGTATTAAAAGTCCGCGTGGGCGAGGAGGGCAACGGTTATGCATGTTTTTGGCTTTTTCTTTCGAGGAAGGAAAAGAAAAACACTTTTCCATAAATACAAACCTGTATATTTTTTTTAACTTATTTATGAAAAATGTTTGAGTTGTGAATAAATGATTTTATATGAAGTTACCCAGATTAATGTGGAGTTTAATTTAGAAATCAATGAGTTAAGATTATATACTACTAGGAAATGCGGTAGCTATTTAGCTCTCTTTTTTTTCGCGAAAAGAAAGAAAGTTATTTATAGGATTATAAAGAGTTATCTAGGCACATTAGTATTAATTTACAAAATTTAATTATCGTCTAATATGAAAAAATATGTAGAAACACTTTAAAATAACGGATTATAATCGGTACTTTTTTTTTGTCGAATAGCCGGTACTTTATTCTTGGGGAAAAAACCATAAAATACCCTGAATTGTTTTCACTGCAATGCATTTACTCTGAAAAAAATTTTGCGACATAAAAATCTCGAAACTATGAAATATTTATCCTAAATTTTTTTCTTGTGACACCAAAAATCCCAAATTTGTACGTGTGTGACACATTTACTCTCCATTAAAATTCAGTCAAATGATTTTTCAACCGAAATTACGTTTCTATTTCACTTAAGCCATGTAGACATGCCAACATAGTTTGCCTTTCGCCGTCCATAAAATCCGATTTTTAACGGTATTCATTGATGGAATATTAACGAAAAGTAATTGTGTCACACAAGTATACTGTCACAAAAAAAATTTATGAATAATGTATCAGGATGGGCATAATTTGGTATTTTTCAAAACTTTTTCCCTTTTTATATGTGGTGAGTTGCAGATTGATTTCATTTATTGCGTGCTATTGCGTTTTGTGAATCAATTTTAGTTTGTGTCCAGCGATTCATTTTCAAAAAAAAAAAAAAGAAATTGTCCGAAGAGCAGCGTGTGAGTGAAGGGAGAGAAAAATATGACAGGAAAATTAATCAATATATATAACCGTTCGTGTTTCAATTATCATGATAATGCTTGATGAGTTGAAATTTTATAATGTCATGAAATAAACAGATGGATTTCCATCAATGACAAATAACAGAAAATAAACAGATCGACGTCATTTTAATAGCACACCAATATCATTTAAGAGGGAAATCAAAACCCAAACCCGAAAAACCCTAGACTCTTTTTCTGAATGGCCCCGGCGACTGTGCAAGGACTAATCCCCCCCCGTATTAACTTTCCACAGCTACGGCTCATTATTACTGTCTACTATTTACCATTTACTGTCCCCATCTCTCTCTCTCTCTCTCTCTTCACTGACGTCTCTCTGCACAGCGAAGCTCTGTTCATATCATTCTCTCTCTCTCTGAAGTCTCGAACGTTGACATGCACTGAGGAGCGGGAGGCTTTGCTTTCTGCTTTGAACTGGCGAGTGACTGAGCAGATCTTGGCGTACGCCTGGGTGGGAGATATCTGACGAGAGGCGTGCATGCAGTGACAAGGCGAGGAGAGCGCATGGTGGCTGAAAAGCGCGTCCCGAACGGATCCCGGCCGTTGGTTTCCCGTGGGAAGAAAAGGGTCGGACGATCTCCTGGTGGGGCCCGGTTTGACCTCGACCTCGTGGGTCCCGCCTTCTATCCGGGAGGACAGGGAAAGACCATGTCTCCACCTCCAATTACACGAGCTTCACCGAGTGGCTCCTAATTTCCCATTGCGGGGTTTCTTCACCCCCTCTGTGTATATGTTATGACGTGGATATGCCACGTGGATCTCGTTCTCGTCCACAAGAATAATTTTGCGAAAAAAAAGAAGAAGATAAATTATTACGCGGGTTGTTGAAAAAATATCCTCTAAAAATACAGACGAAGTTGGCCACGAGAACCCATCGCAGAAATATGTAATACTTGTGTTTTCAAATAAAGCACGGATTATTCGACCAAAAAATAAATAAATGAAGCATGGGATTATGTTAATCCTCCAAGTGTGATTTACTCATATTTAATTAGCTGAGTCCAAGCTATAAATCTTTCTGTTACGTCAATTGCCTTCTTTTTTGTATAATATTACTCATCTATTTATTAAACTTCTATTTTAGTTCATGTATTGTCAATAACTTTTTTAATCAAGACTCTATACTTTTGATTTTCCTAATCAAGTCATTCTATTTATACAAAATTTATAAACAAATCCCTCCAACACCAAATCTAACCAATTCCATCTAACGCGAATGTCAAAGATGCTGGAGCTGGTCATATAGGTATAGCACGATGCGTATTGAATTTTTACTTGCCGAATAGCCACAATAAATCAATTTAGCAAAAGCTAGTCAAATAGGTATAGCATCTCCTATCCATTCACTATACACGGTGGGTGTACATGTAGGCCATATTGAATTAGGTCGAATTTGGTGTATGAGGAGCTTAATTAGACAATTTTTGCAATGGTAGAACTTTATTAGAAAAATCAAAAGTGTGAGGATTGATTAGAAAAGTTAATGGTAATACATGGATTAAAAGTAGGATTTCTCAATTGATTGCGCTTGTGTCACAGCTCGAAGAATTGGATCGTTCCTGAGGTTTTCTGGACGATGGACCGTGACCGACCCTTGGACGAGAAGGCGGGCCCCAAGTGTTCTAGTACTAGGATTTTCTTGATGTCTTCTAGAATACTCCTAGGGGCGGGCGATACGGTAATTGTACTCTTCCGTAATAAATGCGGTAGGTGGGGTAGTTGGGGGAGTACGATCTCGACCGTTAAGATCGGGGTGAGATCTACGGATACGGTCAGCCCGATACTTGTATATAATGGGGTCTCCTCCCCTCATTTGATCATCTCTCATTTTCAAAAAGCAATACAAAGTCCAGAGCTTCTCTCTCTAGAGTTTCTCTCTCTAAAGTTCTTGTGAGTGAGAGTATGGGAAGGCTTACTTGGGAAGAAATTCCTAAGGCCGCACGGGTGTGGCAACGCTAGCCGCACGGGTGTGGCAACGCTAGATCGATCGACCCGTGACACTTGTGTATAAGTTTCTTTTTTTAATTTTTGGTTTGTATGATACAATTGACAATCTGACGTGGAACCGATACGATATAATTTATCAAAAAGGTAGCTAAAAGTTGCCCTAGAGCTAGTAAACAATCTAGTAAGAAATCGGTTGAGAATTTATGATAAAACTAGGAAAGTAAAACAGAAAACAATGATGAAATGCAGTGGTAGAAAAAAATTGGGAGTAGTAGGTTAGAAAAATCCATGGGGCGATAGCTCCGTCACTTATATAAACTCGACACCTTCTTTAGCCCCTTTATCCATGCCTAACTAATTCCCCTGATTAATGAGCAAATCCACATATGCACCATGCGACGTCTTATAAAATCAAATCTGAGAACTTGAAATCTAATATGTCCTACTTGAAATCTAAACGTCTTATAAAATCAAATCTGAGAACTTGAAATCTAATATGTCCTCCCACACGCATATTGCTGGGTTGATCGATGATTTATATCATGGCCTTCACATCCCATGACCATTAAGCTTTCCCTTCCCGTTTTGTATTTCATGTTCCTTAACCCCCTCTTAAGAGCTGTAACCGTTGCGACAGTAAAACCTGTAGAATTCCAAGCCCACCAAATTTTGAAAATCCAGGCCTCGAAATGTACGAGTACAGTTGTCCTAGCCGCCGCCCACGGACTTTCGAAAATCTAACATTTACTGGCCCACCTGTTTTCCAGAATCCAGGCCTTAAAGATAATCCCCACAACACAGAGACGATAAATTTTCAACTAGGAATTGTAGGGCTTTACCCCGTGAGGGGAGCCCTTCCAGAAATTCTCGAGGGCCAAGGCTTAACCCAGGCCCAAGAGGGGGTTTGGAAATAGTTTTCAACCAGCAATAGACGCGCCTCGGTTAGTACCTCACTAGCTGCGTCATTGCCCCAAGCGCAAAGATACTTTCTCTCACCCTGCCCAAGCCCATTTTATATCAGCAGCTCTCATCCTAGTGTTGCTTTGCAGTCGATGTGGGACAAAGTCCCAGCTTCATTTTCCTTCACCTTCGCAATGGGAAAAAGGTAGATCATGAAGCTCGCGAGAAGGGGTGTTTCTTTGTTTCTAACCGAAGTACTTTCCTCTTCGTGGAACGATTTGTTTCTGGGAATGATTTACTCACGATGCGAGCGCCAGCGAGGCTAATCTCGTTGGTGCGGTGTGTTCTTTCTTCGCGGCACTTGCACAGGTGTGTTACTCTGGTGGATTCTTATTGCAAGTGAGAAAAAAGTCACGAAACATTCTGTGCGTTGAGCAAGAGGTGGTGGCTGGACTGCTAATGTGGTTCCAAATTGTAAGATGATACGAGACAAGGAACACCTAGAGGAAATCAACTGTCATAAGCCAACTTAGTTGGGTTCTTGACTTCATTGAATTTAAGAACCACTACGTTGAAAGATCATACGCAACCCTAAAAGAAACTTTAGCTCTGCAACTTTTCCTTGCTTTTGATGATTCTATAGCAGCAAATATATGAGTTTCAAGAACCAACCAGGCCTTGAAGAACATACGGTAAGATATGCGCTTTGCCTTAAATAATCTTTACAGGTTTCAAGGTTAGCTCGCTCGTTAACTAAACAACCAACAGCAATAACAGCAAATTCGTTGCTTTGCAATGGATGGAGCTAAGGATGGATTTCGGTTGCATTCTAGTCGACACTTCTCTCTTTGATATAGTGTATCTGTTGCTCGCACGAAGGAAACTAGAAAAAGCCGAATGGAAGAAGTCAGGATTTCACTACGAATGTCAAGATGAAAAGGACCTTGCCAATGGAAACAACACGGTTTATTACTTCCATCAGAGAGTGAGGTTTCACAAATTCCACTGTCACTTTTACAAGAGAGAGATGCTCCCATCTCAAGTCTTACAGGTACAAACAAAACATCCCTGAACAAGACAGCAGGTAATCAGGCGCGGTTCATCGCAATTATTTACAATTCCTTTTTTTCATTTAGCTCATTTTGTACACAAGTCAAGATGCAGTTGTGCTAACGGAGCATAATGTACAAGCCGCAAATTTGCAGAAGCTGAAGAGATGTCCATTGTCCATATCAGAGACAATTTAAGAGGAAACACTCCATGCTGCCTGCGAAAGAAACAAGGAAATGAACAATGAGAAGAAGAGTATCACAATAATCGCAACGAAAAACAAAAAGAAACGAGAAACCAGGATCAAAGACGATAATGATCATCAAAGTACTCAATGCATTGACAAATACGACATCCCCTTCTTTTTGGCTATACAGGAGGTTGGAAGAATTGGAGAATAGATGGATTCTTCTAATAGATGGAAAAGAAATTCCTTTGTGGTTGTGATAAGTGAAACTATAATCCAATAAATGAACTTTAATTTAGACAAGGCCTCTAGACACAGGGTTAGCACATGAACTACAGCTGGATCACAGAAACAGATTCTAATCTAAGTAGCAGCGACACGCGACACGCAACACGACACGCGACACGTCATTTCTCAAGAAATAGAGAATTCCGTCACGTTGCGACAAGTTGTATATTAAATATATATTTTTATATACACATGATAAATTATCATTTTTAAATTTGATTCAAATAAGTAAATAAATAATAAAAAAAAGCCTAGAATGAATTTACCCTAAAAATATTACACACGCGAGCTTAGTAAGCATAAATTTTCAAAAAATAATTATGTATACATAAATATATTAATTAAGAAACTAAAAGTAGATAATCAAATTTGAAAAAAAAGGAAAGTACAAAATAAAAAATAAAAAAAGCAGCCCATTTCTAGAAGCCCAGCCCACTTTCACTTTGTCAAAACCTGCTCTCTCCAACTTCCTCCTCCGCGCGACCCGCAGCCTCCTCCCACCTCTTCCTTCTCCTCCGTCGCCGGCGAAGCAAGAGGCGAAGGAGAGGGCGTCGTCCTCGGCGCCGGAGAAGCGGGAGGCGAAGGAGATGACGGCGTGGAGGGCGTCGTCCTCGGTGCCAGAGATCTACACCTTCTTCCTCATCTCTCTCTTGGCTGCAATCTTCCTCATTTCTCTCAACTGCAAGGGACACGTGTGTCGCCAGCGTGTCCAATGTGTTGACCGCGTGTCGTATGTCCGACACCTGTTGACCGCGTGTCCGAGCGTGTCGAACGCGTGTCGGTGTCGGACACGTGTCGACACCGACACGCCGTCTCCCAGATCGTGTCGGTGCTACATAGATTCTAATTACACGCTTCGGTTGGAAACTGGAAAGTCTTAGGTTAAAGAATTAAACTCAACAATCAGCAGTAATAGTGCTCATACTCCTCAATTCTAAAGAAACTTCATTAATTTCCCACGAAATGAATTCGGCAGCCAGTATTACTTGTGAAAGCAGCTTTTCACAGCATCTAACTACCATAGAGTTGCTGCAGCTTAAAGGCTAAACTGTTACAAGGTCTTGAAATATCTAGCAATGCAACTATTCCGGTAAGAGGAAGTTATGCACATGTCTATACATACATATACATATATCAAATGACAAAGAAAGCATGCATCGCACTGAAGCCACAAACAAATTAGGAGATAATCTATTTGCTGAAAACAAAGCCACTATATGCAGTCCTCTTCCTAGACTTTCACTATAGAGTTATTTTAATATAGCAAATCAATTATAAAGAAAAATAAAATGAGATATCCATTGAATCACTATAAGCTCTGTAAACAAGTCTCCTCATTATCAGCTTCCAGAAATTTCGACCAGGAAAAAGCCTGACAAGGATCTTAAATTGCAATCTAACTAAATCTATATGAAGAAGAGAATTAATTTCCTGTTTCAATATCCAACTGGCACCTGACAGAATTGAATACATACAGAAACTGTATTCTTTTGTCCATAACGTTCTGGACTTCAAAGGTAAACACAAAACACTATACATCCCAACTATTCCCCGTCTTCTTTTAAGATATCAATGTTTGAGATAACTACTCGGATACTGTTATCAACAGCATTTTCTTGCAATTAATTAATTATCTCTTCAATCGGAAGGGTAGCTGAGGCAACTGTACGAGTTATTTTCAACCCTCATAATGAACTGATATACCAATCACTAGCGGGAAAAGCGAGAGAGAAAGCACTTGTCAGTAATCACAGTTCCACAAGATAACTGGTTTGCGCAACTCTAACATCTAAACAGAGTGAAAGCAGAGGAACAGCATATCTAGCAAAGATGAAAGTCCGTTTTCTGGTATGCCAGCTTGAGCATATCTAAACAGCCTAGGAAGAGAAAGGAAATATCTAGTGTAATATAAAGAGGTGCGAACAAGATAGATCAAATGGGGATTACCACATCACCCCTACTTCTCAAAGTCTTCCCCGTCGCCAAGTTCACTGTAACGACCACCCAACCACGGTCCTCTTATGAGAACCGGTTAGCCTACTCGAAACTATTGCAGGAAAAAATATGTTCATGAACAAGCACTGCAAATATTTTCCCAGGTAACCATTACAAGATTCGCAGGAGTCAAATGCGACCAAGGCGACGACACTTGCATAATAATCACGGAGTCTAGCAAGGATTTGGTGAGAACCAAATGGGCGGAGTCGACGGCGAGGCGAAATTGGGAGAATAGCAAGGCAATTTCTCGAAGCTTTCGTCCTCTAACCTAAAGATTCCCATATCCTGCTCTTCCAAGAATCCATCACAGTTAGAATCCGAGTGATCATCGGTGTAATATATGCAATTCCCCATGCATCCAGGAAAATCCGATGCCCGTAACGCGAAGGAAGAGTTTTGCCCGATAAAGATCATGTAATCGCCCAGGTCTGCCACCCACTCCCACCTAAATTCATCCCCCAGCTTAAAGACATCAAATAGCTTAGTCCTAAACACCGTTTGATGGAGCTCAGGCCAGAAATTGGAGTCCAAATGCCGCGTGACTAACATGAGATCGTCTCCTACACTCACCAGATACTGTATGTCCCCACAGACAACCCTCGGCTTGTCGATGTACGAAACCCTAGGGGAATCGCCATTGACGTCACAAACCGCAATTCGACCATAGCTACTCACAGCATAGAACAATCCGTCCCTATAAATGACATCATCGCTGTAAAAATTCGCTTCTTCTATAAACCTCCAACCTTCATCGCCGTTTCTACAGTAAGCCAAGCGGCTACGGTGATGGAGCATCGCCACGGCGACGAATCGACTGTCCTTCGCCGGACTTGAAGACAGGACCACCTTTTTGACGAAAATGTCGCGCATCTGCTTCAGATTGCGCGTCGAGAGCCGATGATTGCCGTCGCGGAGCAAGTACTCGCGGCCCACGTCGGCGAAGTTGAAGCCGACGACGTCGGGGAACGTGTGCAGCGGAGGCAGGTCCACTTTGGCTCCGGTCAGGGGGTTCACGAGGACGACGCTCGGCGACTCGTCGAGGATCGCGAGCCAGCCGTGGGAGGAGCCGCAGCGACGCTTGCGGAGGCACGTCTCGGTGATCCTGAGCACGTGGACCTTGTTGTCGGGGAGGCTGTAGAAGTAGCCGGAGCAGGAGCGGCCGCGACTTTGAGGCTTGAACAGGGGGAGGAGGAGCCACGGGAGCTGAGGAGGGAGGTGGCTGGGGGCCTTCGGGGTGGAGGACCGCCACGCGCGGCAGACGGCGCGGAATCGGACGTAGTCGGCGTACAAGGGGAGCTTCCTGGAGACCGATTCGAGGAGATCGGACGGCAGTTGGCTCCAATCGACGGCCATCAGTCCTTGTCCTGTTTTTCTCCGGTGGGGATTTTTGGCAGAGAGACGCGACGGAAGAGACCGGGCGAGACCGTCGCGAGGAGAGAGAGGGGGAAGAGTGCCCGAATCAATCGAGGACGATATGTCGATCTCCCGTCATGCATGATCGGGCCCGTTGTCCCGTGCGACCCATGAACCCCGTGGACGGTTGGATGGTGCCGATCCGTGTGCCGGGACGGAGACAATCAGACGCCAACGACAATAATTAAGGAAACGGACCAGGGGTCCGCGAACCAGGTGAGGCGGGAATGTCTCGTGTCCCTGCAAAATTGCACTGGGCACAGCCGCGATTCCCTTTCCACGTAGAGATAAAAGGGTGAGCATCTATCATCTTCCGCCCTCTTCGGCATTTCATCAAATAGCTACGGAGCAGGAGGAGAAAAACTCCCGCCAATCGAAAACGTAACGAGATTCCGCAGTTGGCGAAGTTGTAGAGGAACAGCGAATGCGATCGCAACTCGCCGGAATCCGCCTTGCACTTATGGGCTTTGCATTCTGTAGTGCCATAAAAAAGGAGGACGAAAAACATTAACGAATCCGCCTTGCACTTATGGGCTTTGCATTATGTAGTGCCAAAAAAAAGGAGGACGAAAAACATAAACGCCGTTGCCGGGGATCGAACCCGGGTCACCCGCGTGACAGGCGGGAATACTCACCACTATACTACAACGACATGTTTATACGAATGCTGCATTAAATAAAATAAAATAAATCCAAACATTAAAATCATTGTGTCAAGCAGCTTAAAATTGAAATTTTGGTTTATTTGGAAACAGGATAAATACTCCAAAATCCCTGAATTTAATTTCTAAATGTAATCAAGTTATAAATTTTCTTTATTATTAGTGCAATCGAAATTTAAACTTCATTGAAAATTTCAATTGAACACAGATTTCAAGAAAATGAAAAATTATAGACTAAATAGAGAGAGAGAGTGCAATTTAGGCCAGCAACAAGTGAAAACGTGCCTCTCGCATCTATTTAGTCTATAATACCACGAGAATCACAAATTGATTGAGATCAATCAAAGCTAGTTCGATGAATTTTTATTGATCTTTGTCCGGCATGGAAGAGAAGATTTTGAGAAGAGTCAAAAACTTCGGCCATCATAGGGCGAGCATTCAGATACAGCAACGCATCTCTTCGCAAGATTTGGTATTCAAAATGCTAAATCCAACTCGTTCTTCATTGAGAACCCCTTTGCTGTTCCTCGTCTTCTTTCTTGCTATCTCCAGCAGCTCCCTTTCAAACAAAAGCTCTTTTACTTTTAGGAAATCTACCAAAATTTTCGATTTCACCCTAATATTGCTATGAGATGTTGGTGATTTGCGAGATAGAAAATTAGTAGATTTAATATTTTCCGAACTCCCAACCCCAGTTTACGAAATTGACTTTCCTACAATGACGTCTTGCTGAATTTCTGTGTTGTATTCACGCTAGAAGAGTCGCTTGTTCCTTGTGTTTCCATGCAAGCAATCTATCGGAGATATTTGATAGAAACTAGCAAATGATAAATTTGTCTTGCATTAATTTAATTTTTTTTAATAATATTATCCCTATTTATTTATATAAAAAGATAAGGATTTCTATAAAGTGCCAATGGAGGGAAAAAATATAGCAAAAGACAATATCACAACATTTAGTATAAAGATTCCTAATACTTGTGGTTATTTCATGTACAGGATGCAGACATTCATATACATACGAATCGTTTAGGCTTTATTTGTTTCATGAAAAATGAATAATTTGACCTAAAAATAATTATTTGTATTACTTGAAATAATTAGTCAATAGAAAATATTTTCACTATCAGTAATAATTTATGTCTAAAAATTTTCGCGAACGATGAAATTATTTTGCATCTATTTATTTTTTGAGCGGAAACGAATGATTTTCTCCCGAAATATGCATAGCTTTAAATGGATGATAATTGGTTTGTCACGCGCGGGATTCATTATCATAATTTGGCGACGAATCACACGATTCATCTGATGATCATTTTCTCGAGAGAAAAACAAGGGTCCGCCCCCACGCTCGTGTCAACGTCGACCAGGCGCCCGGGATTTCTGCCCCCGTCCCCACCTGGTCCCAGCGCCGCCGTTAGCTTAATCGTGAAGCTTCCTCCCCACGACGGTGCGACGCCGATCCGTGAAAAGCCATACAGAATCTTCGCCATGCACCGTCCGCGCGCGATTCTCCGATCGTCATCGTCATCATCATCACCACCACCATCGCCAGCTGCAGCGCAGAATCCTCCAGGTCGACTCGCGAGAAGGTCGTGGCCGTCCACGATCCTCGATCGCAACCGACGAGCCCGTTTTCACCGTCGATAACGGTGTGTCTCCCGATTCCCTCCGCATAAAAAGAAGCTCGGGGGCGCGCGAAGATCCCCCCTTCACTCGCGAAAGAAAGCTGAGATTCTCGCTTTCACCCTCGAATTTGACCACTCCGCGTGCGTGTGTGTGTGGAGAAAATTCGAAATCTGCGGTTGCTTTTCGTTGCTTGATCGACTCGGTCCACTAAATTTGCATAAGTTCCTTCGTTTCGATTTTCACGGTTGGAGCTGCTGAATCCGATTCACTGTTACTTTTGGCCACTCTTTTCTTTTCTTTTTTTGTTTTTTGTATCTTTTTTGTGTTATTTATACTCGAAGTTGATCGATCGAGTCCACGCTGCGATCAACGGTCGAGTGCGGTGGTGCCTCTGTTGCTCGTGAGTGCCAAACTTTCTTCGCGTTTTCATGTTTTTGTTCCGTCATTCTGTCTGATCAGTGAGCGTTTTGCCACTTTTATGCGTTTGTTTCTGTTTCTTGTTTATTCTTTATCAATGTCAGCTCAGCTGTTATCAAAGTAACAAAAAATTTTCGACTTTGTGGTATTTGGCGCTGGTGTAATGAACGGTCACTTGTTGAGTTGGGGTAGATGTAGCGAATTCGCTCAGTAGAAGGTACCGATACTATCTCTAGGTACATTCTCATAGCAGTTGGCTTACAAAATTTCTGCGGTCCTTGAATCCCGCTTGCCATATGCTGAGGCAATTCGAGGGAGTTGCACGTGTTATGAAGTTGTATATTGCTTGGTGGTTGCAGGCAGGACCTCACGTGTCCCGCCATTGATCCAGTGTCAAACTTTGCGGCAGGACAGTCTGCATAGAGATGGGTAACATGAGCAATGTACGCATTCCAATTATATGATTGAATATCAGTTTTTCCCTTCGATGTGAGGATATCTGGTTTCATCATTCTTCTTAAACTACCATGATTCAAATTCAAATTCAGATTGCTCAGTCTCCCTCTTTTCTCACCTAAGAAACTGTGTTTTCTGCAGGGCTATGAGGACAATAACCAGCAAACTGACATTGGTAGGGCTTCTTTTTCTTTTAATCTCTTGTATTTCTAAGATGTTTTCTTATGAGCTCGACGTTCAAAGTTTAGAAAGGCGATAACTAGAAGCACTGCGAAGAATTTATTTGATTCCATTTACTAGTTAGAGGTGATAACAAAATAAACATTAGTTTCTTTGCTCTGAAATATAAAAAAAAAAACAGTTCAAGAGAGGCTGAGCGGGTATTCAAAATAAGATGGAGATTATTTCTGAACCTATTTTCAGCTAGAGTTTTAGATGTGTCGAAGTACTTGATTTATTATGTAATCTAATTCCCTAATTTTCCAGGTGCAACAATGCGGAGTGGAAGAGAAATCCTTTTTCAGGTGAGCTGCATTGCACTTTATTGCATTAGTAAGTAATCAAGGACACGGTTTTGTTGGATGCCACTTTTGAAATATGATCTAATGGCAATTCAGTTGAAGGAAATGGAGCTGATCTCGTTCAGACAAAAATTTTCTTCTGCCTCAGAAGAAGACTCCAATGTGCACCCATTTTGATGAATGGGGCATTTAAGAAGGATGTTTCATATGGAGTGTTGTCTGACTAGGTCTTGCTTGCAAACTGCATCGTGACATCCAAAAGCTAAACTAACCAGAGACTTTGGCAACAGGCTTTTAACTGGGAATCTCATAAACACGATTGGTGGAGAAATCTGGAGAGGAAAGTTCCTGATATCGCAAAATCTGGATTTACTTCAATGTGGCTTCCACCAGCGACTAACTCCTTTGCACCTGAAGGTTTGCACAGTAAACTCATCATCCATAAAAGTTTCTTTTTGGAATAATAGTCGCCCCTTACTACTCTTTACTTCTGTAACAGGTTATCTGCCACAGAACTTGTATTCCCTCAATTCGGCATATGGTTCGGAGCATTTGCTAAAGATATTGCTCCAGAAGATGAAGCAATACAAAGTTCGAGCAATGGCTGATATAGTTATCAATCATCGTATTGGGACCACTCAAGGACATGGAGGGATGTATAATCGTTATGATGGCATTCCAATGGCATGGGGTGAACATGCCGTCACATCTTGCACTGGTGGATTGGTAATAACATGAGCGATGAACTTCTCATTGGATTAGAATTTTATTGATGCATGATGCTCCCACATCATATATAGAGGATGCCCTTGGCAATCCTGTGCATTGGGGCTTTGGTAGAGCAGACCTTATCACTTGGATCAACTAATGCCAAAAGTTAACTCATAAAGTTGCCATATTTCCATCTTTTGTCCTTCTTTTAAAAGCATCCTCAACCCTGGATTTAGTGGCCTTAACATAATATCTGATGTACATTAGAGCGAGTTGTGTTTTTCAACTACAGAAATGAGTAATGGAGCTTCTTATGAATTTGTTTTAGGGTAATAAAAGCACTGGTGACAACTTCAACGGGGTTCCAAATATTGATCATAGCCAACAGTTTGTACGGAAAGATCTAATAGGCTGGATGCAATGGCTACGCAATGTTGGGTTTCAAGACTTCCGTTTTGATTTTGCAAGAGGGTAAATTGCAGTTTGTGCTCAATTATCTTTCCTATTTTTCCATATCCCCGTTGGAGTACATTCATTTTGTCTGGTTATTCCATTCAGATATTCACCAAAATATGTCAAAGAGTACATTGAAGATGCAAAGCCATTATTTTCTGTTGGTGAATATTGGGACTCTTGCAACTACAGTGGTAGTGCCTTGGACTACAATCAAGGTATTTTGCTCTTCTGGTGAATATTTAGACTATCCAGCAAAAAACACGCAGCATTGTTTATGTCATCCTTTTGGTCCTTGTTTTTGCTAGCTAGCTGATTGAAGTTTCACTATACTTGGGAGTAGGCCTGGATGCCATATCATTCTTGCCTGCTTCATTTTCGACAGAACTTATCTCTAAGCACAGTAACATGTCAATGCCTCCTAGATAACACTAAACACGCTGTCATGTGCTTTTAAATGACCCAGATAGTCACAGACAACGAATTATAAACTGGATTGATGGCACGGGACAGCTTTCTGCTGCATTTGACTTCACAACAAAAGGAATTCTTCAGGTACATTTTAAGGGTCTGGCTTTTAAGTGAAT